GCGGGGCTTCTACGTCCACACACCTCAACGAAAATGACCAATGCTCTGGATTAGCTACCGTCCCTTCTGGGAACCATAAGGTCCCATCATATAGGGGGACCCCCATAGAATCAATCGCCTTGAGTTGTAGCACCTCTTGGGTCAAACACAGAGCATGTGATTTAGGCCCAAAGCTTCCGTTCTACCGAGAGAAGGGGGAGGGGAGCAGCATAGCTCCTCGAGCCTAAGCACCCAAGCTCTGCGTCAGCCAAAACCTTACTAAGCCCTGCCACCCCACCCAAGGAGCCGAGTACCCCTGGTCTCCGGAACATGTGCGTGTGTGGGCGAAGCTCTCCAGCAAGGAGTAGTAACCCCCAAAGTAAAAGGGAGCGCGCCCTTCTTACAAAGCTACAGCCCTGAGGCCTGATGATTCCACTCCTGGGGTTTCCTGTTTCTCAACACTTGCAACCGCATGCCATCCAGCGCGTGCCGAAGATCCGCTCATGTCGTGCAGGGCACATCGTCCCACAACACCCATGCTCCCGTCATTCCCCACATCACCTTCTTTCAGGAGAGACTTTGTAGCGCAAGTGCAGTTGTGGAGGTTCCCAAGTGACCACGCAGGAAGTCAGCTAGAGTATCGCCTGCATCACGCGTCGATGTCTTTGTTGGTGGCTTAGTGACTTCTGTCCGGACAGGACTACGTAACCCAAAAACTAACATGTGTCGGACATGCTCCTTCGGTCAACAATGACGACGAATTCGCACACCTTCCACCAGAACCCCGTAGACTATTCGATGGCAACCAATAGCAAGTGGTAGTGAGTCTCGGGCTCAGGGGTAGGCCTAAACAACATCTCAAAACACTTACTTATCCCAACAACCGATTCAAAACGCCACAGGATTCCAAACTTGCCTCTGCTTCGTGGTATTTCTGCGCCACCGTTCGCTCCAAATTCTCTTCTATCCTCGAAGCGCTTGTGGTGTGTACAGGGAGGGCACCCCTCACTGTGCTACCTTTTGCAAGTGGACGTCAAGCCTAAGTCATTATTCTGTTAAGCCCAATTTAGGCCCTCGAGGGGGTTCCCCTCCTTGTAGGGCTTTATAGGGCCCAGGTTTCTGTTTGGGAATGTGGGGGTTTAGGGTTTAGGGTTTAGGGTTTTGTCAGCTTCTGGAACTTGGGCTACGCCCTCTAAAGCTCCGGAAATGTTTCAGGCCCTGGCGCGCTGAAGGACACCCCCTTGTCGGACTTCCGCTTTTCCTTTGCCTGGCCGGGGGCATGTTTCCCTAAACCCTAAACCCTGAAACCTATAAACTCAGTGATGCATCGCCAGCTCCCGTAGAGCCCCAGCAATCTTCAAGGGAGGCTCTTCGAATATGATCATTGGCAGAACAAACCCTAAACCCTAAACCCTAAACCCTTAACCCTGAACCCTGAACCCTGAACCCTGAACCCTGAACCCTAAACCCTAAACCCTAAACCCTAAACCCTAAGCCCTAAACCCTAAACCCGAAACCCTAAACCCTAAACCCCAAACCCTACCTGGCCGAGGCGCCTCCTTGTCACCGCCGTCTGGATCGAACCTTAGAGCCAGCACGGCCTCCTCGTAGTTCGGGTTCTCGGCCATCCTTGAAGGGTTTAGGGTTTAGGGGTTGGGGTTTAGGGTTTAGGGTTTAGGGTTTAGGGTTAAGGGTTTAGTGTTTAGGGTTTAGGGTTTAGGGTTCAGGGTTCAGGGTTCAGGGTTCAGGGATTAGGGATTAGGGATTAGGGTTTAGGGTTTAGGGTTCAGGGTTTAGGGATTAGGGATTAGGGTTTAGGGTTTAGGGTTTGGGGTTTGGGGTTTGGGGTTTAGGGTTTGGGGTTGGGGTTCGGGGTCAGGGTTTAGGGTCTAGGGTTTAGGGCTCAGGGTTTAGGAAGGTTCATGTTGCAATTCGTGAGGGCAAGTAGATGAACCACTCTAACAAGCTATTCTCCTTCGAACATCCCAACCCTACAGACTCTGGGGTGGGGCGCTCCAGGAACTCTGGGCTTTGGGGCTCTGGGGGTGGGACCTCCCGGGACACTCTGGGGTTGGGCACTCCTGGGGGCGGTGGGCGAGGAGTAGACCGGGCGAAGAGAAGAGTTTAGTTCAACAATCTCACAACCCCACATCGAGGGTGGGGAACCGTCTCTTTTGCCTACGCTTGGTACTGTAGACACTTTCCCACGCCAGTCTGGGCCGGATTTGGGGCCCCTTCCTGGAGTGGCTACTTCAACAGTGGGCCTACACATGAGCCCTAAGTCGGTTTAGGGTTTAGGGTTTAGGGTTTAAAGTTTAGGGTTTAGGGTTGAGGGTTGACGGTTTAGGGTTTAGGGTTTACACCAAAACTGACCCTCTGAAGCCTAAGAGATAGGGTTTAGGGTTTACGTCTCGAAGCCCAAAATTACATATTTAAGGTTTCGGGCTTTGGGTTTAGGATGTGTACTGTTGAAGAGAGTGTGGGGTTATATATGTATATGTATATGAGGGCATGTGCATTCGATGTCGAAGAGTAGTTTAGGTACATGGTTTAGGGTTTAGGGCCTGCCAAACCCGGCACAAGCCCTGTAGCCCGAACAGCCCCACGTGGCAAGTTCGACGGAGCAAGGTTTAGGGCTTCGTGCACATGCAACTACCCTAAACCCTACACCCTAAAACCCTAAACCCTCCTCAAATCCCAAAGTTTCTCACAGCCGGACCCTTGTTAGATCACTTCGACGCGTAAGGTACATCCTAAATCGGGGTTACGGTGTAGGGTTTAAGGCCTTCAGGGTTTAGGGACCCAGAAGCCCAAACCTGTGTTCCCCCCGCCTCACTTTGGAGTTTGTGGGCTTTGGGGTCTCTCTCTCTGCCCCTAAACCCTAAACCCTGAACCCCTGAAGACACGCGGATCCCACGTCGCGCGCCTGTAGGTAAGGAGGCCCTTGGTTTCGCCCTTGGCCTGCGTGCCGTTTCAAGGAAGGGGGGCTGCTTGGAACTCCTAGGGAACCTGGCTCTCCCGAACAAAGGAATAAGGGCACAGTGGTGGGTCCTGGGTCTATAAGTCACACGCCGGCTAAGTGAAGGTGTTGCGATTAGACCAACCCTTTGGGGTTCCAGCAAAACATAGCCCCTAATGTAGACCTCATAGTTGGAATGGAATCCGCGCCCACACCCCCCCACCCCCCCTGCACTTGCACAATCAAGCTGTTTGGGGGGAGGAGGGTTCCTGCGCATTTTCTTCTTAAGCGGGTCTCGCAAGGTTCGGCTTTGTCTCTGACGAGGGTGGCGGCAGCGACCCTCCAACCTCCCTAAACCCCAAACCCTACACTACAAACATCCACAAACCCATGCCCTAAGCCCTAAACCCTAAACCCTGATATCAGGCCAAGGTCAGCGCGCCCGACAACCCGACACAGCAAACGCAACCGTCTCTGAGCCCTATTCGAGGCCACAGGGCAAGAACCAAACAGGGTTTAGGGTTTAGGGTTTAGGGTTTCGGGTTTAAGGTTTAAGGTTTAGGGTTTGGGGTTGAAGGGCTACTGCAGGCCTGCACCTTGGACAGTAGACGCAACTTCAACAGACATACTATAGGGGTCGGAATAATTACTATTAGATTATTAGATGCCAATAGTATTCCCTGCTGGTCCCTTTAGAACTATACTATAGCTAGGGGGTCCCAATCAGCACTATTAGACGCTAATAGTATTCCCTTCTGGTCCTTTCATAATTACACTATAGTAGTATAGTAACCCTATTCAAATTATTAAGGCCCCCTATATTCGCTCACCCAAAAGCGAAACCTCTAAACCCTGAAGCAACGTGAGCAGCCTTGGCATCGCTGAGGGTAACAGTTTCTTGAGCGGCCTCTCTGATGATCCCAGTCGCCTGGACGCAGTTTCTGCTGCCTAAACCCGAAGCCCTGAGCCTTGAGCCTTGAACCCGAAACTCGAAACCCTAGAGCCTAACCCCAACCCTAGAGGCTTTATCACGGAGTTAGAAAGAGAGGGGAGTAGAGGCTTCTGCTAGAAGGGTTTATAAGTCTGACCGATGTGTGGGTTTGAATTTGTTTGCGACGTAGGTTATGGTTTGCAGGGTTTAGGCTTCAAGGCTTTAGCGTTTAGAATTCCTTCTGCCCCCCTCCCCCCCTCTCCAAGCCTCAACATGACTCTTGCGAAATTAGGTCGAGCTGGAAGGTACTAGACCTGCCTACCTGCTTTCAAGACGGCGGTTCAGGCATTATGGTTTGAGGGTCAGGGTTTGGGATGCTCCCCCTTATACTAACAGCTGTTAGAAAAAGGGGGCACATCCCCAGTCAGACTGAATGTTCAGGGGTAAGGTTGTGGGTTATTGTAGTATATTCATAAAGGGACCATAAGTGAATCCTATTCGTAATTCTTCCGGCCCCTATAATAAGCCCCTTCAGCATAGCCCCCTGTAAACCCTCAATCCAAGCCTACTTTGGACCAAAAGATGAACATTCAGTTGTGGTGGGCCCCATCCAGAAAGACAAGACTAAGCCCGAAACCAGCACCCCAAACCCTAAACCCTAAACCCTAAACCCTAAACCCTAAACCCTAAACCCTAAACCCTAAAGCCTAAACCCTAAACCCTAAACCCTTCCAGCCCCGACAGGGCCGAGCCTTCAGTGCCGAGTCAGCCCTTGGGTTGCCAGGCAGCTTTGGGAGTCGCGTTTAGGGTTTGGGCTGAGGGCTGAGGGTTTGGGGGGTTAACTCATATTAGGCGCCCCAGACCCAGGCAAGGATCCTTTGGGTTTCAGGGCATGATTCTGCGATTCCTTCGGTTTTGGGGTTTGGGGTTTGGGGTTTGGGGGCCTGAATGCCAAATCATTGGGGATTCAAGGGCGTAGGCAAGCGTGCTGCCGGTGTCCTTCAACACCAGAGCCCTCAACCCCCAAGCCAAGAACTGAAATTCAAAAGTCTAGTCCGGGAGCTGACCCACATCTACGATGTCACGATTTCCCTCAGACACCCACCCCAAAAAAAAACAAAAGATGATAATCCAAATATTGCCCTTATAATCAAGAATACCTTGTATGTTTTTTTTTGGATGGGGGGGATTTCTTAAGCAAAGAGTCGCGAATACTGGGCCCATCCAGAAGGGCCCCTGTATATCAAGAGTGTCTGCATAGCCCAGAATAGCAAAAGCAAGAGCAACTTAGACTCAACCCCGTTTCCCCTCAACCTGCTCGGCAACTCCCTAGACACAGGATCCTGCCCCCGAAAACCTACATCCTGAGTTTGAAAGATCCCGGCATTCGTCGGAATTCTAACCGAGGGGCAGCAGATTGAGGCGATTCCCGAGGCATGGCCTGAAGACGAGAACCCTGAACCCTAAACCCAAAACCTTGAACCCTAAACCCTAAACCCTCAACCCTCAACCCTAAACCCTTGCCTCCTTTTGTGCCGGCTTAGGGTGTCGGGGCCCAGGTTGAACGTCTATTTCTTGTGGCTGAGACTACGTCGTATCACCATCGATACCTTTAAGTTTTAAGGATCATGTGGGTCAAAAATTTAGGCTGCTGCTGAACCAAAACACGAACCCTCTACCCCAACGCCACGCAGTGAAGAGTTGATGGTTTGCAGTTGGCCATTCTAATTAAGGGGGCACAGGTCCTAAACCCTAAGCAATAAACCCTGACAAAACCATGAGGTTCTAGGCTTAACTAGGTTTCGGCTTGGAGGGCTGGAAAAATAAGCGTCGCTAAACTGATGGGTTGAAACGGAGAGTTGGGATAACAGGGCTTTAGGGCTTTAAGGGTTCTTGGGATTTAAGGCATAGGGCTTAGGGCTTAGAATTTGAAGGTTTAGGGTATGCAGTATATTTTGTTTTTTGCACATTTTGTGTCGGTTTTGACGTTTCGTGCGGTCCTACAACCGAACATGCAAAACCTTGCACCCTGGACCCTCGGTGGCTAATTTAAAGCTGGGGTTCCGTCATGATCCCATCAGATAGGGTTTCGGGTTTAGGGTTTAGGGTTGAGGGTTGAGGGTTGAGGGGTTGGGGTCGACGGCAGAACCAAACCCGAACCCTCACGTAAAGCAACGCCAGGGACTTGGGACTCCCCTGAAACCTTCGCAGGCGCATGAGCTTCAGGGGTCTAAGGAGGGACCCCTAGAAGGGACCCTTAATCTTACTCCCCCTAAAATAACCGTATATATACCTTATATAGTCCCTATATACCTAAGCAGCTCCTAAATAACTTTCAAAGAGCCCCTAAGGTCCCTTATAAGGGTCCCTCCGTTAGTTCCCTGATGAGCGCCCGGCGCGAAGAGCGCCTTTAGGATGACTATGGCGTAGTAGATCCTGAGCAGTCGGGTTTAGGGTTTAGGGTTTAGGGTTTAGGGTTTTGGGTTTTGGGTTTTGGGTTTAGAGTACGCTGGGGATACCCTCAACCATCTTCAAAAGAAGCTCATAAGGAAAGAGAATTCAAGCAAGAAGGGGGGAACGCAGCTTGCTTCCAACTGGGTCGCAGGTTTGACGTGGTTTAGGGCTTGCCCGTGACTCTGTTTACCTTCGGCTTGTCAAGAACTAGCACTTCATTCGAATGCAGGTAAATGGAGTCGAAGGTTGGGTTCGGCTAAGGGCTGTTGGGGTTTTGGGTTTAGGGTTGAGGGTTTCGGGGTACACCCGCAACCCTACAGGCTACTTTCTGACATATGTTCTCGAATCTCCTTAAAATGGTCTCAACCTCACAGGTTTGATTGGTGGTGTCAGGAAGTGCTTGTGGGTCTTTGGGGCTAGATGGCTCGAAACATCTAAAATCAAAACAACCTCGTCTTAACCCAGCAGAATCTGCACATGCCGAAATAGTAACTGCAAAAACCCTAAACCCTAAACCCTCAAGGCAAAATGAAGAGAAATTGCATGCGGTATCATTCTGAATTTCCCATGTTATCTGTCTAAACAGCTGACAAGCTGAGTTTAAGTATATTTATCCAATACATCACTGGGAAGCCAAATGCTCAGTTTACTGTTTGTGGGGGCTTTTTTCTCAGAGCCCCCTCCCACCCAGCTCTGCCCCCACCCCCACCCACCCCGCCCCCACCCCCTCCCCAACCCCCCAACCCTATCTGGCTTCAGAAGGCCCAAAGTGTTGCACAAGGCCCAAGTTGGCCTCAGCAGGCCCAAATTGGCTTGAGAAGGCCCGAATTGGCTTCAGAAGGCCCAAATTGGCTTCACACCCCCCCCCCCCCCCCATTCCCACTGAAAAGAAAAAACACAAGCCAAACACTTTTTTCCAATTTCTATAAACCCTAGCCCTAAACCCTAAACCCTAAACCCTAAACCCTAAACCCTAAACCCTAAACCCTAAACCCTAAACCCTAAACCCTAAACCCTAAACAGGTGGGCCAGGCCCCGGACAACATGATGATGAGAAGAATGAAGGAAGGCTCGGCTGCTGTACGTCCGGCATCGGACATCCGTGCCTGCTCGTTTGGGCTGCTGGGGGTTTAGGGTTTAGGGTTTAGGGTTTAGGGTTTAGGGTTTAGGGTTTAGGGTTTAGGGTTTAGGGTTTAGGGGAGCTCATGGGATTGAGGGTTTAGGGTTGAGGAGGTTTCGGGTTGAGGAGGCTTAGGGTTTAGGGTTGAAGCTTTAGGGTTGAAAAGGTCCAGGGTTGAGAGCATCAGGGTTTAGGGAGTCTAGGGTTTAAGGTTTACGGTTGAAGAGGTTTAGGTTTATAAGGGTTTAGGGCTTAAGCCCTGAAGGCACCCTGCAAAACCTCCCGGCCCCTCCGGCACGTTGTCCAAACGTCCTAACCCACACCCGAACACACTAATTAAAGCGCAAACCCCTAGATAACCCCCCCCCCCCCTAAACTTTGAGTTTTGGGTAGCTTTGGGTTTCGATATCGTTTGTGCATAGGTTCCTGACCCTGAGCACCACACACCTCCAAAGCCTAAACCCATAATCCCAAAACCCTAAAGGCCCTAAAGTGAAGTGTCACTGTCATTTGCAACGGAAACTATGCGCTCTGCCTTGCAAGTCATTACCATGGCTTGCAACATGGCAGGGACGTTCAGGGCTTGCGGTTCATGCAAGCCGAACTGGAGAGAGGCCCGCTAAAGCCCGTATTTTCGCTTTACTGTTGCCAACCGAAGAAGGGTCTTTCTCCTGCAAGACCTGAGTTGTAAGTAAGAGTGGGGCAGCCGAACAGTGATCTTCTTCTCAGATCTAATGCTTGGAGGGGCACTTACACGTGGGGTTGTGAGGTGGGGTTACTCCATTAGAACTCGTTAGAAGCATATTTCGGGTATCCTACTAAGAACTACCCATCAACCTTCAAGTATCGAAAACCCTCTTGCGCTCCACTCTGCTGGGTATGGAGTTTCGGAGTGACATTTTGGATGCCGCAGTCCATTCTTTTTGGCCATTTTTGCCGGGGCTTCGGGCGAATGCCAAAAAAATCTGTCTGTGTTTAGGGTTTCGGGATGTTTTCGGGTTTAGGGACTCGCTGGATGCAGAGGCAACGTGGTGTGCTACATTCCCTTTGGTTGCAGTTTAGGGACTAAGCAACGTGGGGCCCGAACCCCCACATGTGTACCCAAAACCCTAAACCCTAAACCCTAAACCTGGGCCTTCAGATACTCCCAGTATTGCTTCCCGCGCACGTCGAAGCCAGACTGGGCCACAATCTCCATGATGCGGTTGTACTCATCCAGAGTCACGGAAAACCTGGCGGAAACTTGGAGATTCTAGGTTGGGATGTTCCTAAGCCCTAAACCCTAAACCCTAAACCCTAAACCCTAAACCCTAAACCTATCAGTCCTTAATAGGGATTGTAGTACCCCCCATTATAACCCCTGGAGCTGAAGACGAAGACGAGGGCAGCTCCCCTCACATGAAGGTTCATGGGTAGGTTCTCAGTACCCTAACTAGAGCTCTAACCAGTCATAATTCTTGTTACCCTAAACCCTAAACCCTAAACCCTAAACCCTAAACCCTAAACCCTAAACCCTAAACCCTAAACCCTAGCCCCACTTAGGTCGACCCTTGAACCTCCAAGCACAAAGACAGCAATAGGATGGCTCTGCGCCAATTATTCGCAGGATGACCGCCATGCATCGGCTCCAGGAGTGTAAAACGGGGTTTAGGGTTTAGGGTTTAGGTTTAGGGTTTAGGGTTTAGGGGGAATCCTGAGGTTTTGAGATCACACCAGCAGTAGGACAGCCGTGCTTTTCGTACCTTGTACTCGAGGACACAAACGCTGGGACTGTCTAGTGGCACAGCACATCTCACGATGCGGCCGTCGAGACGGCACCCTGCCTAGGAGAAGTCACTAAAGCCTGATGCACAGGTGCGGTTGAAACAGCATCTGGCACATGTCTTTTTCCGCTTGACGGTTCCACTAGGACTAGTGGCACCACCAAGCCAATATTTTGGGGGGATGGGGTCACGAGGGCGTTATCACCAAAAACAGTGAGTGTTGCTCCCGGGAAAATGTTTTTGCCAGATGAGCGCGCGCGCGCGAGGGGAGCGTGCCTGGGTGTCTGCATCGGTCCGCGCGCGCGCGCGTGCGCGCGCGTGCGTGTGGCTCTGGCTCTGCTCTTTCTGTGTCTCTGTGTCGCTGTGTGTCTCTCTGTGTGTCTCTCTGTGTGTCTCTCTGTGTGTCTCTCTGTGTGTCTCTCTGTGTGTCTCTCTGCGTGTGTGTGCGTGTGCGTGTGCGTGTGCGTGTGCGTGTGCGTCTGTGCCCCTGTCCCTGTCCCTGTCCCTGTCCCTGTCCCTGTCCGTGTCCGTGTCCGTGTCCGTCTGTGTGTGTGGGGGTGTGTGTGTAGGGACTCGTGTCTCGTTTACTGGCTGGGGTTTGTGAGTAGAAAGTGGTACAGCGGAATTAAGGAATGAGGTTACTTCTACCCTAGCTAGCTCTTGAAGAACGTATGCAGAGAACCTTTTGCCCAACTTCCCTACTTACACAGCCACTCTAGGAACAGCGGCAACACATGCCAGCGCTGCAAACCAGCGGCAAAGTTCTGAGAGCCACCCCAGTTGCTGGGCATGATATCCTGGCAGTGTGGGATTTAGCTATAGGGCGTTTAAGGTATAGGGAAGCTTCCTTGGGTTGCATACCCCCCTTGCACTCCCTTAAGAACCCTCCAACTTAGGGGGCACCGGAGGGATGAAGCAGACGTTGAAGGGCCTGTTGGTCTTGGGTTCCGGCCAGTTATGGGAAGTTAATTTTCAGGGGCTGGGAAATCTCAAGCTCGAGCGCAAGCTTGCACGCAGTTCAGCGGCTCAGGGTTAGCGTCTGGGGTTCAGGGGGTACAGCATCCTACCCCTAGATGCTATGTGTCATGTACCCTTAGGCCGGAGAGTGCACCCAACAAACACGAACAGGGAGCCTGCTGGCTTAGGAGCAGACTTGTTTGGGGTTTACGGTTTAAGGTTTGGGACTTACTCTGAGACGTGTTTGCTTGGCTTCCGGACGAACATGAGTACATTCATCACTCAGGCACTGAGGGTCTTGGGATTGGATGCTCTCCTAAAGCTGACACTTTAGGGTTTAGGGTTTAGGGTTTATAGACCCTGACCGCAAAACAAAAACACCCTAGTAGGGACCCTAGGCTCAATCCCTAAACACGAGGCCAACCTGCAGCTTTATCCTTGAACGTGGGAAAGGCTCTCAGAGTAAGAGCCAGCCTCATCCATTTTTTGAGAGGTTTAGGGTTTAGGGTTTAGGGTTTAGGGTTTAGGGTTCAGGGTTTAGGGTCTAGGGTTTAGGGTGCTAGGGCTTCTGGTAACATGGGCCAACAAGAGACACGGTGTCCTGGTTGCCGAAGAGCCAGATGGCGAACAACTCAGCAAGTCCGGATTTAGATTGAGTCAGGTTCGTCAACCCCAAAAAAGCAGCTTCACTCTTCGCAATGTCGAACTCTTGGGTGGGTGGGGGGGGGAGGGTGGGGGGTATTCCGGGTATTTCTAAAGGCGAAAGAAGCCTCTCAAGTTCTGTTGGGGTAGAGGGTTCAGAGCCTAGAACGTGTAGGGTGGCAAAAAACCTTCAACGAGGATTTTTTGGGGTTCATCCATCCGAGAACCCTGAAGCAAAAACTCCGCTACCGACTGGACCCAGTGAGTTCGATCCTGCTTGCTGTGGCAGACATGGCTGGGTACGCACAATCCGCCCCCCGCCCCCCCCAACAATCACAAAGCCTTCGTCCCTGAGGCCAAGGCTACTGATCGAAACTTCGCGCACTCCTCTCAACCCCAAACTTGAAGCCTCCCTCCGTAGGTTCTTCGTGTTGAGGCTGCCACCAGGTGGAACAATATGGCAAACGGACACATGATCACCGCACTCTCCTCGGGATTCAGCCGGGCCATCATACGGCATGAGCTTGGGGACTGCAGCGGAATGACGTAACACAACCGAATGATCCAAGAACCATATTATTTAGATATAATTTAATAATAATGATCTACTAACGACAACATGACCACAATAGCTGCATAACATCATGTAATGCAACATACTCTCATACAATTTATACTCATGCTGCGCCATAAGGCAACATACAATAATGGTATACTGATATAACACCATAAAAAGTACCGTTATACCAATATACAAATTTCACAATATCTAATACACCTACAAACAAACGAATACATGAACATGCAGGATTATCAAAATACCATAGTAAAACCAGCTTCGGGAACCAACGTCAATGCGTCTTTGATGTGCTTCTTGAGATCAGCGTTTGGGGCTGAAGAGGGCTTGACTCAAGAAGGGTTTCGCATTCAGGGCTTCAAGAGGCAGGGGTTCTGATGTTGGCGCTGGCGGTGTTGTTTCAAGCAGTGCCCCCTAGCGCGCTGTTCCGTGATGGCATGCCTCCAGGAGGTTGAGCATGCTCGCAACGTGGCCGGGTGGGACTGTCGTGGTCGTCGTCGTCGTCGTCGTCGCCGCCGCCGCCGCCGCCGGTGTCGTTGTTGTTGTTGTTGTTGTTGTTGTTGTTGTTGTTGTTGTTGTTGTTGTTGTTGTTGTTGTTGTTGTTGTTGTTGTTGTTGTTGTTGTTGTCGTTGTTGTCGTTGTTGTCGTTGTTGTCGTTGTTGTCGTTGTTGTCGTTGTTGTCGTTGTTGTCGTTGTTGTCGTTGTTGTCGTTGTTGTCGCTGTTGTCGTTGTTGTCGTTGTTGTCGTTGATGTCGTTGTTGTCGTTGTGGTCGTTGTTGTCGTTGTTGTCGTTGTTGTCGTTGTTGTCGTTGTTGTCGTTGTTGTCGTTGTTGTTGTTGTTGTTGTTGTTGTTGTTGTTGTTGTTGTTGTTGTTGTTGTTGTTGTTGTTGTTGTTGTTGTTGCTGTTGTTGTCGTTGTTGCTGCTGCTGTTGTTGCTGTTGCTGTTGCTGCTGTTGCTGTTGCTGTTGCCGTACTCATGTTCGCGTGGGGCCAGGCCCTCCCTAGCAATTGCAGCTAGTGGCCATGCATTGTACGAGCGTCCTGCAGCGGTTATAGTTCCACGAACAAAGCCCAAGACCCTATTTCCTCAATAGCTTCGCAGCAAGTACATGATGGCTGAAGCACAGGCCAAAACCTTAGAACTGAACCCCGAGAATGCCAGTGGCCCTAATGAGAACCGAACCCTCGCTTGGGCTTCATATTATCGAGGCATCTCAAATTGGACTGTGTATCTTGGGTGGGTGATCCTGTACTTATGTAGGGAATGTAGGGTGATCATGGTGATCATTGTTTTAGGCTCCGGTATAAGGGGCCCAGGGCCGTTCCTGAGGGGTGACGGCTTCTTCTCGATCTACATTCCGAAACTGTAAAGCCCAAACTCGAAAATCTCGTCTGACGAAAAAACCCTACAGCCTAAACCCTTAACCCTAAACCCTGCCCCAGCATCAACGACTCAGTTCGGTGCGATGGCACTCTTGGTGTAGCCGGGCGGCTTCCTACAAGCTTTGCTCTGATCTTGGAGGTTTCCGACATTAGGGGGTACCTTCTTGTGGCCCTTATTCTACCAGTAAGGGGATCCTACTATTTTGGAGTCATTTCTAGGGTCCCCTATGTTCGAAACCCTCATTTGGGTCAAAAGGGCTGAGGATCACGGGGTTTGCAGGGCTCAGGGCTTAGGAGTGAGGGGTCTAAGGCTCTTTCAAAGCGTTCAGCGGAATTTTTCTTAAAAGGACCTAAACCCTCAAAGTGAGCCGTTTTTGCCTAATCCTAAAACCTAAACCCTAAACCCTAAACCCTAACCCCTTCCACTTCAAAGGTTCACCCTGGACGAAGGCGCAAAACACTGCCTGGGACTCCGTTTAGCTCTAAGGTTTTTTAGGGTTTCGGGCTTAGGGCGGAGGACCCTAAACCCTAAGTTGCTACTAAGCTAAGGCAAGGCAGGGTTACAGGTAAACCCCACGTGCACCTGCGTTGAAAAGTTCTTCGTGCCTTCGGCTTTGCGTAGCCTCGCACCCCCGCCTGAGCCCCACTGCTGTAAAACCCAAAAACCTAAACCCTAACCCCCCCAAAGCCAGAAACCATAGTTCTTAAACCCTAAACCCCAACTCCCCAACCCCCAAGCCAGAAAAACCCAAATTTTGAAGCCCCCAAGCCACAGGACTTTCCACCGGCCTGGAACCGCGGAGGAGGGCGTACTTGTCAGCCCAGAAGGCGAGGAGGCAGTACAACGCCTCAGCGGCTTTAGCTTTAAGGGTTTTAGGGTTCTAGGATTTCAGGGTTTCAGCTTTTCTTCAGGTGGTTAAGAAAGGTTTGAGGGTTTAGGATGCGGGTTCTGGGGGTCTTAGCGTTTTGGAGCTTGGGGCTTCAAGGGCTACTTGGGTCCCCTATATAGTACGGCACCCTTAGACATGAATAACCCCAAAGGGACCCTATTTTCGAGAACTATCCATATGCATACAGGGTCACTTCTCAGGAGGTTGGGGTTAGGGGTTGAGGGTTTGGGGCTTTTAAGGTCTTTAGGGTTTAGGGTCTAGGGTTTCGGGCCAACATCCCGTTCCTCTCTCTCTCTCCCTCTCCCTCCTTCAGCAGCCTTCACGGCTTTGCAATGTGGAGGCTCGTGGCTGAGCTTTTGATAGGCTGTCTTGGGATGTTCCCCCTTATACTAACAGTATAAGGGGGAGCATCCCAAAGGGCATCCTTGGCTTGAGGGTTTGGGGTTTAAGGGTTGAGGGATCCGGCTGACTGTGCGGTTTAGCTTTCAGGGGGTGTGCTGACGAAAGCCTTCTAGCTCAATCCGTATCAGCTGGCACCCCAAACACGACTTGAGTAGAGGCCTTAAAGAGCAAGTCGAAACGTTCGGCCGTCACTTTTGAGGCCTAAACAATGCCATTGGTTTTAGTTGCGGGCCTATGTCTTGAAAGGTTCGGGCCTAGGGCCTAGGGAGAACATTGAAAAGATGCTTCGGATAGTTTGGGTGGATAGCTCGCGGTGTAGGCGCCTTAGCATTTAAGCCAAGTCACGCCGAAGAGGTACAGTACAGGGAAGCCGGTCGAGTACATCAGCACGCAGAAGACCTTGCGGGCGGAAGGAACTGCTCTTAGGATCCTGGGCCATGCGTGATTCCAGAAGTGCTGAGTCTTTTGTGAAATCAAGGCGAAGATGTTTTCGGGTTTAGGGTTTAGGGTTTAGTTTAGTATTCCAAGAGCTGCGTCTGCTCTTCTGCTCTCCTTCCTGGCTTTGACCAGACTCGCAGCTACACCCAGCACAGGATGACTCAGCACACGCCTGCAACCCTAAACATGCCCCAGCCCTACATCCCTAGCCTCTCAAGGATCCCTTAAACCCTAAACCCTAAACCCTAAAACACTAAACCCTAAACCCTGAACTCCAGAGCCCAAATCGTGTTTGCAGTATGGTGGATGTCTTGCAGCGCGTCCCCTTTAAGGTGCCAGACGAGCTCCGAATCGGAACTCCTGCGTTTAGGTTTCGGCTCTCACTAGATATGCAGTTCCTCCTCTAGAAGGAATATGGCCCTTTTGGGGTCCCTTTTATCAGGCGGCCTCTATCATTTGGGGTACCCGAAACTTCGAGCAGCGACCATGTCGTGGTACTGAGGTGTAAGCCGCGCCAAGGAATTATCAGCCCGATGCTTTTCACATAAAAGGTATGAGAAGCACGCTATTTCAAATAGTGGGCTGTGCTACGGAGTAGAATCCACCAGAATGGGGCCAAGGCACCACAACAAGCGTTTCTGCCACGCGCAGCGATAGCGTCCACTCAGGGAGCACGTGGTACCTCGGTGGACGAGTAGTTACAGCCTATGCACGGCTGCCCCAACCTTGATAATCATGAAAACTCTCACTTGTGTCTGAATGGCTTCGCAGGCGTTCGCACGTGGTACTAGGGGAAAGGAATCGACTTCCCGTGTACTGCTGCATGAAGAACCGGCACATGGTGCAAAACGGGGGGCTGTCCAGTCTCGAGGTTGCGTGGGGCAGCGCGGGGGGGCGGGTGGGCTTACTGGAGCTTGGGTATTTCGATGGTTCTACCTGGAGGTTCATGGGAAATTTGAAGTAGGGTTATATTTATCGTATTCTTACTTAGTATACTACCCTAAATATAACTACCAATACCTGACAAAAGTGGGGACTCGACTCTCTGGGCTTTCCGCAAACGCAATGAGTCCCCAGCCCTAAGCCCACTGTTGAAAGCTCGACTCCCGAACGCTTAAAGTAGTGATCCCCATGCAGCCCGAAAACCCTACTTTTATTTAAACCCTACTTTTTTTAAACCCTGCCTTCTTTTTAAACCCTGAACTCATGAACCTCGTCCCGGTTGGGGACTTATTAAGGTTTCCATCTTGAAAGGCAGGTCTTCCAGCTCTACCATCTTCGCCTAAGGCAGCCAAACCTCCAGTAGCTACTATAGTACCTTCAACCGTAGACTTCAGGACACTTCTCCAAAAAAAATTATGGTCGTCCTTTGCCTCACGGTCCAAGGGACATCCCCAGCCCGTACTGCAACAGATGAGCCCTGACAATCCCGGAAGATCCTTCTTGAAGGTTCATGGGCAGTTATAAGTAGGGTTACAAGTACGTTGAAGAAGGTTCTAACTAGATACAGTCAGTTAGTTGCCCTACTTCTAACCCTACTTCTCTCTCACTGCCCATGAAGCTCCAAGCAATGACGGCCCCAGGGCCGCGGCTCGTTCAGCAGCTCTTGCGAATGAGTGTCTGGCGGCGTTTGGCAGTGCTATTTCGTTCTGGATGGCTAAGCCTCAGCCCACAACCCTCCCCTGAACGCGGGCGCATGGTGGCGCATCCCCCGCCAAAGCTAGCCTACACAGGCCCTGCTCTGAGATTTGGAGCTTAGGGGTTTGGGCTTCGGGCAGAGCGTTCGGGGCTTACAAGACTTAAGTCATGTGGAAACTCTGTGAAGCCCCAAACTTTGAAGCGGATACCTGTTTACGCTTGGAGGGTTTGGAGTTGATGAGTTGGCAGGTGTGGTATTCCGCCCGCCCGAGCCCGGCACAATTTTCACATGGCATCTAAGCCAGAAACCCCTAAGACTCAAAATCCACCCCAAAACCCTTAAGTCCCATAAGTCCACATGCTGAATGCTACCCCAGACCCACGAAACCCTATCCCACTTAGGAGCCTCGCATTCGTTCAATGTTGGGCGTTGGACTTTGGATTCCTGCAGCCTCTGCACCATTGTTTAGGGTTTATAGGGTTTAGGGTTTAGGCTTTCTATTAAATATGATCATTCTTGTTCCTTGTTGGGTTTCAAGTTTTCATAAACATACAAGATGATTTTCAACAATGACCCAGAAACCCTAAACCTTCAGAAAGCTTGTGGCCTGGTCGGGGGTTTACGAAATGAAGGGGAAACCTAACATAGACTCCCATACGGTAGGTTTCCCTTGTGATAAGGACCCGAGTAAGGTACACCCTGCACTCGGAAACCCTGACCTGGCCTTTGCAGAAGAACCACCGCAGGAGCGGATCGACCGTCCAAACCTCGTCGCGGTGCATTCGGGTTTAGGGCCCAGCACTCATGTTTCATGGGCTTCTAAACCCCAAACCCTAAATCCTAAACCCTAAACTTCAGGCTTGGGTTTAGGGCTTTTAGGGTTTCAGGAGAACCGGTGTAGGCCGCCCTGACACCACCAAGCCTCAGGAGCAAACATCCAAGCTCCCAGCCAAGACGCAGGAATCTAAGGGTTTACTTGAAGGTTCATGTGTAGTTATAAGTCGGGCTATAAGTACCCTACTTAAGTTAAGGTAGTAATAACCTAGCTAGATTACTAGATTACTGATAACCCCATTTAAACACCGAACATCCAAGCACCGAACACCCAAGTAAGGTTTATTAGGGTTTAGGACAATGCTAAAACAAACTCTGCAGCCTTTTCACCTTGACGCATACTCCGTGCCCGCGGTTGATGCCACAGGCCATGGGTAGTTCTATGATGTGGGGCTGTCGGGAGGCGATGTTGAATTTTGTCGCACCTACTCCTCGAAGCCTACGCCAACTGACAAAAGTCTTCACGGGCCTCAGATCATGTTTCGAGGTCTAGCGGTCCAGAGAGTTGAAGGTTGCGGTGTCCCTAAACCTAATCCCGCCTGAACACTAAACCAAACCCAAAAGCCTGAACTCTAGTCCTAAACCCTAAACCCTAAAGCCTAAACCCTAAACCCTAAAATACCCTAAACCCACCTGAAGAAGCCCCAAGCTGTTCAAGCCGAAGGCCGGCAGCCGACCCAAAGCTCAGTCCCAAACCCACAGCACAGGCAACGCCACTGAGCAGGCAATCTGTGCGGGGGGGAGGATGGTGATCATTGACAACCCCAAGCCCTCAACTCTGAGTCCTAAACCGCCTGTTCAGTTTTAGGGTTCAGGGGTTTAGGGTTTAGGGTTTAGGATGATTCGGGCCACCCCGAGAATACAGGGTTGGCGAGCTACAAGATGCTCGGGCAATCTGGCTTGATGCCTCCAAGGCCCATTACTTCCGCCGCGGTTTTGGGTTTAGGGTTTAGGGTTTAGATTTAGGGTTTAGGGTAAGGGTTAAGGGTCAAGGGTTAAGGGTTAATGGTTTCGGGTTTAGGGTGGCGGTGTAGGGCTTCTTGCTCAGAAATGCATGGGTTAAGTTGTTGTTTTTGGCTTGTTTTTTTTTGGGGGGGACAGAACCAGTGAAGGTAAACCCTAAACCCTGATTAGACAAGATTGCAGTAACCTGGGTGGGAGGTTGGGGCGGCGCGCCCGGATCATTTTAAGACACGTTCCCCTTGGGATGTGGAACCTAGAAGGAAGCATATATATGGGGTTTGGGGTTTGTGCCTTAGGGGCTCTGATCCAGAAAAGAACACCTATTCCTCCTGACCTGGCAGACGATCGTGATCACGAGCATGTTTCCGATCGTGATGAACCTGGGTGTTGATGGTGGCTGTATCAATCTTCGAGCTCACGGGGTATGGGGCTTGGGGTGAGGGACTGGGGCGGGGGACTGGGGGGCTTGAAGGTTTTAGGGTATCTTGTTTGAGAAGCCAGTCTCAAAAACTCAAGTGCACAGTGGAGAAAGGAGATCGATCACGCTTCGCTTGATACCGGGAGCGCATCTAGAACACGAGTGCGGCGGCATGGCTCTCAATACCCTGCAGCTGGTTACAACTGACATCTGCAGCTTGGGCCTAATGTTATTTTAGGTGAAAAGTATGGTAAGAGCGACTGGAGCAACAGCAACCATCCCTTACGAAGTGCACGCTGTGGTCGAGCTTATCACGTGGAAGTACTTTCCATCAATGGGGCTCCGAAGATGCAGCCGAACAAACACACGAACCGCAAGCCGCGCAAGCCCTCAAACACAAACTCGCGCAACTCCACTGTGGGTGTTTGGGCCTTGGGGTTGTGGGTTTGGATACCAGGCCGTCTGAGCTGCCTGTCAGAATATGCTTCAATTCCCATAAGGACCCATCAAGTAGATGTAAGGTGGGGGCCTTAATGATTTCAACAGGGTTTGGGGTTAATGGGTCATTATCGTATATTTATGTAGTGACCCTAAGGGAATAATACTAGTAATTATTCTGACCCCTAAAGTACAAGCAAGTGATAGGGCTATTTGTCAGGCTGAGGGTTGAGGATTTATAGGTTTGCAAGAGATAGAGCTCGAGGATTTAGGGCCAGATGCTTCCCGCAGCCTAAACCATGTAAACTCCATCCTCTAAATATCGGCCTGTCAACTCTATCACCCCCCTAAAGCCCTTTAAGCCCTTAAAGCGCTGCAAACCCTACAGCCCCTACAAAGCCCTGTAAACTCTCACAAGCAGTGTCAAGTCTATACCCTAAACCCTAAACCCCAAACCCTAAACCCTAAACCCTAAACCCTGAACCCTAAACCCTAAACCCTAAACCCTAAACCCTGAACCCTGAACCCTAAACCCTAAACCCTAAACCCTGAACGATGCGGCTCCAAACCTTCGCTTGGCTTCTGGCCAGTTCGGGTTCAAGTCGTCGTGAGGGCCCTGCCCGAACTTCAGCCTGAGCCCATGGCTCCAAACTTGAACTCTGAGGGTTTCAGGGTTTAGGGTTTAGGGGTGAGGGTTTAGGGTTTATCAGTGGGGTTAGAAGTACCCTAAGTAAGGCTATAAGTATGTTGTCCGAATTAGAACCCTACTTAGAACTACCCATGAACCTCCAAGTACGCTCTGGGCCTTGCCTCGACATGCATTTGTGGAGGTATAGTGTGCTGGTTTAGGGTTTAGGGTTTAGGGTCTTGCTAGGTGTACTTTGCTGGGACTATAACGCAGTTTTTGCAGTCATCAAGGCGCTCGGCTACCTGAGGCCAAACCGATGCATCAAGTAATACAACTCCTGACTCAAATTCCTAAACCCTAAGCCCTAGACCCTGTGCATCCTTAACTCGCAACCGCAAACTTTGCTGTGTGTAACTCCAGGATTTGTAGGGTCTGGGGTTCAGGGTTTAGGGTCCCCCCCCCCACCCCCAGCACACGCACTCACACACACACACACTCACACACTCATGCTCTTTCTCTCTCTGCCTCTCTCTCTCTCTCGCTTTCTTGTGCTCTTTCTCACAAGACAAGCAGCCCCTGCTTAGAAGAGAGTCCGAGGCGCCGTGAATGAAAAACTCCTAGGGCCTGAAAAGGCTCAGAGCTTCGGGGTTTAGGGAAAGAGGATGGATGGATCATATAGGCTTCAGCTCGGACTTATAAGGGTGTGAAGATTTGGGGCTGCCGCTCGAAGCACGTGCTGACTGCGCTGCACCGAGCCCCCAGCGCTCCGAAAACTGAGTCGTTGCTCGTGTAGAAGTTGATTCCAATCTGGGCGTTCTCGAGTTGAGGGGTTTAGGGCTTACAGGGTTTAGGATTTGGTTCCGATGGCTTAGGACCTCGGAGCCGGGCCGTGCGCGCCCTTGCGTTGCTGACATCCGCATAGATTGTTCCCAGTCTTCTCTAGTCTACTTGTGAGATGACAAAAGCAATGCAAATATCATCTTGTCCAAGAAAAGAAAGCCTGTGCCAGCCCCCATGACCAGGTACTGCTGAGCCCTTCATGGGCTGCCCCTGTTGATGACGCCCCCCAAAACCCTTGAATGTACGGTCTGGGGCCGAGGGGTTTAGGGCATGAAGCACGCTCTCAGGGTTTAGGGTTTAGGGTTCAGGGTTTAGGGTTTAGGGTTTAGGGTTTCGGGTTTAGGGGGTCTGAGTGAGCGCCCTGGATTGGTGCGCTTGAGGCCTGAGACTTAGAGGCCGAAGGCTCACGGTTTTTGAGTAGCCCAGGTCTGAATTTGACAGGGCTTGGCCTCTAAACCCATAAAGCAGCTATGTGGGATCTTGTGCTGGATGGTGGTCCTCTACAAAAGCTAGCCTACCAGCCTAAACGGGATCCACCGGCTGTTTGGGGGTGCCTGGAGGGGGTCCGCTGTAAAGACAACTTGGGCTGCTCAAAGAAGGCACAAAATCCGGGTTTGACTGCAGAGGGGGGAGCGCCGTATCTAAGATGGTCACACATCTAGGGCTTATATGGGCATTTCCGAGAATACGGGGTACCCCTGACATACCCCCAACTACTGTAATCGTGATTATGGGAACCCCCGCCCCCCCCCCCTTAAAAAAAAACACTAAAAAAAAGTGCAACCCCCTATGTTCGCAAACCCCCATATAGGGGCTTACGAAAATGAGGGACCCCTGAAATAGACCCCCAAATAGCAGGAGTTCCTTACAATAAGGACCCCAAATTAGGTACCAGGTGCCCCCGAAACTCGGAAACCCTCATAGAGGTTCTGACACCAGAAAGCCCCGAGGCCGGTACCAAGTTGTACACGATGGCGGTGTTCACCAAGGTGGCAAGGAAGAGGTTGAACCTCAGGGTTTAGGGTTTAGGGTTTAGGGTTTAGGGTTTAGGGTTTAGAGTTTAGGGTTTAGGGTTTAGGGCTTAGGGTTTAGGGCTTCTAGGGTGGCCCCGAACACCCTTTGAAACATGCTCCTGACTATGATCCTTTTCAACCCAAGTAAGGGGAAAAGACACCAATGTCCCCAGGGCCTACCGAGGTTTTTAGCGGCTGAGGGTGGAGTTAGGGTTCAGGGGACTATAGTAAATCGGGGGCTTGGAGGTTTGGAGTTCTAAGGTTTAGGACGCAGGGGCTGAGGGTTTGGGGGTGTAGGGTTTATGGGTCAGTTGTTGGGGCTTGGTGCCTGTGCCTTTGGCGCCTCTGCTCCAAAAAGGCCGGTGGCCTCTTCATCTGTCACCCTTATACCTTAACATAGCCCCTAGATACCCTAACCAGAACCCCCTACAAAACAGAAGCCCTGCTTAAAGACCACCAACCAATATAATATATAGGCTTTGAGTTCTTATTCGGAAAACAAGATCTTTGACCTCAGAGCAGCTGCTTGCACCAGCGCGCCCTAAAAGCCGCCAGAAAACTTGTAAATGCTTCGATGCCTGAACCCGACAGCTTTAACAAGAACTCACCCCTTTGTTAGCAGCTCCTGAAACCCTAAACCCTGACCCTAAACCCTAAACATCACTAAACCCTAAACCCTAACCCTAAACCCTAAACCCTAAACCCTAAACCCTGAACCCTGAACCCTAAACCCTAAACCCTGAACCCTAAACCCTGAACCCTGAAACCTAAACCCTAAACCCTAAACCCTGAACCCTGATCCCTGAACCCGGGAAGGGACTGCAGCATCTGGGAGCCGCGACACTTGCGAAGCCGCCAGGTCCGTGGCAGTCTGGTACCGACCCAGGCTGTCAAAGTACCTGGGGGAGGGGGCGAAGTTTAGGGTTTAGGGTTTAGGGTTTTAGGGTTTAGGGTTGAAGGAGATATAGGGCTGATATCGAACTCAATCTTGCCCAGCAAGCTGGGACCCGTGAATACTCGGTGCACCAAGGGCATTTAGGGCTTTGGGTTTAGAGGGATCTGCAATCGCAGCTAGCGCAGATTCTGGGTCCAAGCTTTGTCAAAACTTAGCCCAAAGACCGACTAAAGGACCGACTAAGCCTTTAGGGGCGTGGGCGCTGTAAAGGTGGAGTTTAGGGTTGCTTCTAGTTGCTTTAAAACGCCAGAAAATAAAGAAACTAATCCCTAGAGAAGAATGTGCCATTTTCTTTTTCTTTTAGGGGTTCTTAAGAAATTAGTAGCTTAGGGTTCAGGGCTTCAGGGTTTTGAAGCATGTGCAGGGCACGCGAACAGCACCAGCAAGATGTTGTTGATGACCATGACGGCCACAACCTTGTGCATGTCTACATCAACCCCTTAGAAAGGCGGGTTAGTTAGTAACAGCTAGTAAGTGCAAGACATCCGTCAATGTACATCAGCTACTCCGCGATGGCTCTCTACCCCAAGCCATACCAGACGTGTGCCGGAGCATGAAGAGGTGCGCAGCTGACAAAGGGCGTTGAGAGCTGCTGCGCTCAACACAATTGAAGTACCGACCGTAAACTCTGCAACCAGGACCCTCCGTAGTTTCATGTCTAGTCCCCTGGATCTTCTCTTGGGCTATATAAGGTTCCTAAACCCAACCCCAAGCTGTGTCGTTTAATTGAAATATATTCCGCAATTCAGAGGCCTTGGGCTGTGATTTAAGCTGAGGACGCCGAATTACCCGCCCACACACGCTCAGCGCAGGACTCCACCCATGCGAACGCCCAACTGCGAAGCAAAAGGGTGTAGGGTTTAGGGTTTTGGGGCTTAGCTGAGGGTTTCATCCTTGGAGGTAAGATGAGGAGGGTGGAAGGGAAGCAGAGGGTTTAGGCCTCGGCTTAGAGGTGTGATAAACCCAAAACCCTAAAACTCTAAGTCAGGGTAGCAAGCTCTTGGCCAGGGTCAGGGTCTATGGTGCAGGGTCAGGCGCGGGATTGAATACCTTCACTTGGATACTCTCCTCTGTCTCTCCCTCTCTCCCTCCCTCCCGCCTCACTCTCGCGCCCTCTCTTGTTCAGACATCGGAGGAGTCATAGTGTCCAGGTCCCATGCATCGAGGTATCAACACTTCTACCTTGGGTCTAGGCACATAGGAGGGTTTAAGGCTTCGGGTTTGGGTGGAACACCTGTAAGGCAGCTATGGGGCACAGGCATGTCACTCTCCACATTGAATTTTCGGTGGGCTAACATCCCAAAGCCCCAAGCAAAGGGCAGAGGCGGCCTGTGTGCCCTGGTACCAGATGAAGTCTTCGCAGATCTGGCGGACGATAGGCAGGTAAGAAGCTTGAGCGCAGCTGCTCCCAACCCCCTCGATTCTTGGGGTGCTTGTACAAGGACCCCGTGCTAGGATGCAGGGCCGTGTTTAGTTTTATAGGCTAGCAGGACCTGAATGATGTGCTCCAACATGGCTAGGGTTTAGGGCCGTTCCTTTGTTCGCCTTATCACGGGCACGTGCAAGCATCATGAGGTGATCGTCACGACAAAGACGTCATTCAGCGACGATTTGACCGCAAAATGTATGACAGCCGTGTTCAGGGTCCCCACCTCAAGCAGGATGATGCCCGAGACTGTTTGAGGCGCCGGCTCTGAAAGCTTCAACAGTATCGACTCTCCCCCCCCGATATTCAGAAGGGCCCCCTCTTTGAGACTGACATGAGCACTGATGGCATCCCACCTGAGCCTTACCCACTCTCCAGTCCAACTAGCTGGTCTCGAGTTCGCACATTGTAGGCGAGACGCATGACAGAAGGCATTCCCGACACCCTTCATCCCCCTGACTGGCTACCAGAACTTTGAACCTTGAAACGCCGGACCGGTAGTCGGCTGAACAGGCCGGCGAATCCTCTGCGGCCACATTCTCGGCTTTGTTGTAGTAGCCTGGCAAGGAGGTCTTCGGCGGGGGCTTCGACGCTAAGGATCCCCCTGTAGGTTGGCAGTACTGCACCAATTCAACAGAACCGCGCAGGACTCGTTGCATAAACAACTGCCCGGGTGCGCTGCTCCTTATGTCGGTTACACTGCCTCTTGACATCCCGGAACGGAAGGTGAAAACGTGTGAAATCTCTGAACCCCATGGGCGGCCCGCATAGAGCAGAAGCCGTAACCCCAACAAGCCTCGAACGTCAGGGTGTAATGGTTCACGGGTAACTGCATTCTTCAGTATCGCTATTAGAGCATCCAAAGCCCTAGTTTTTCTGAGTTCCCATGAACCTTCAAGCAGCCCCAAACCCGGTAAACCCTTAACCCTGGAAAAAATATCTTCAATGCTTAGGGTGTAGGATTCGTTAGGGTCTGGGTTTAGGGCGGGAAGGCTGAAGAGTGATGTTCCAGGAGTGGGCGGATGCACAGCGACAGGCGCTTGGCCATTCAGGCCTGATTGCAGATGGCCCTTTGTTTTCCATTTCATCCCCAAAGTCGAGGGGCTTCTAGGCGCCGCCCACGCAGATCGTCGGTCCAAACGACCACCCGCAGAACCGCCTTAAATACACGTCTTGAAGCCAAGGTCCCAAATCCAACCCCGCAACTCTTGGCCCCAGGATGCTTTCCGGTTGAGCCGGGGTTGTGGATTTGAGAATCTTACTTGGCGTAGCTTGCACTACGCATTGTAAAGGAGTTCTTTGGGTCTCAACGTCTCGGGCTGAGAGCCCTGACAAACTCCGAAGCCGAGAACGTTAAAGCCCCTGAGCCCGTCCTGGGATCCGCAAGAAGGGGTCGTTTGCAATCTGCTGTGTGCAGTAGCACCGCAGCCTCCAAAATTCAGGGCTTTCGTGTATATAGACTGAAGGGCACTGGGGTCTGAGGTTGAAGGTCAAATGAGCTGGGGGTTTGTAGAGTTTCAGTCTCTCTTTGAAAGGTGTTTTGGGGGATGTTTTTTGGGTTGGTAGGGTTGTAGATCTCGGCGGGTTGCAGGGCTTTGGGGTCTGAAAGCAGCTGAGGCTTGCAGTGCGACCTCTGGAAGCATGCCAGCTGCCCGCACACGCACACAGTCTGAACAACCACCAAGTACAATGCTCAACACGACTGCTCCGTCTCTGGCTTTCCTCGGAAACACTTCACAGTGATGATACTACAATGTGTCACACGCTTCAGTATCCAGGCAACCCTAAACTCTAAACCCTAATCCTGTGGTGATCTGCCACGAGCTTCAGTCGGACTCCCACGCACAAGTTGTAATTAGCAGGTACAGGAAGGTGTTTTAGGTGGTCAACCATGCCATGTCTCTAACATATTTTGACATCAACTCAGGCATTGACTCTATTTCTCTCCGTTCCTCTCTCTCCCTCTCTTTCTCTCTCACCCTCTCTTTCTCCAGGTCTGTCTGTCTGCCTATCTCAGTGACACACCTTTTCTCTCACTCTCTGTCTCTCGCTCTCTGTCTCTGTCTCTCTCTCTCTCTCTCGCTCGCTCTCTCGCTCGCTCTCTTTCTGTCTCGCGCTCTCTCTCTCTCTCTCATATGCACGCACGCCCGCAGCACGCACGCTCACCAAAGTCTATCTATCTGTCAACATCATGCCACTCTTCCGCTCAAATGAGACGCCCAGGCACCCCAGTCTCTCTCCGCAGCCCAAAGCATGTCCACAGGGCCGCACTCACACTTTGGCGATGATTGCCTACTCCGTCTGATCGGGACCAATGTTCTTCTTGCAGGCGGGCCAAGAACGTCCCACGTGGGGGGAGGATTCGCTGCAGGATACGCCTCCGACACGATCGACTTCGCCTTTCCTTGCTGAAATTTCAGCCTCCTTGGCGGGTGCAGGGAAGTTTTCGCCTCTGGCGGCCTCCCATAGTACTGAAAGCTTGTGGAATCCAGGGTGGGAAGCAGCATTGGCAGGAGGTTGGAACTCGCGCTGTGGCACCTTCGGTCAGTAGTGAAGCCTGAAACCGTTGGCGTCGACATATGCAGCTGGGTAGTCGGTGGGTAACAGTAATGTGAGCATAAGTCAACATGGAGCCCCTTCTTGCTCCCATTCCAAGTTGAGTCCACCGATGAGAAGGAATCGTAAGGACCTCCACTTTCCCTCTCTTCTCGCTCTCTTTCCCTTTCTCTTTTTTTCTTATTCTTCTTCTGCTTCTTCTGCTGCGCATGGGGAACAGGGAAGGTGACCTTGTCCCTCGCGCACGAGCGCGCCCCACTCTTTCTCTCTTTCTCTCTTTCTTTGTTTTTCTTTCTCCCATCCATACGTCCCATCCATCCATCCATCCAGCCTTCCTTCCTCCCTTCCTTCCTTCCTTCATTCCTTCCTTTCTGTCTCTGTGGCCCCCAAGACCTTAGACCCTAAACCTTGCAGCATCAGGATGATCCGGAAGATGCTGAACACATGCCCCTAACCCCGAACCTACAAGGCCTGGGACCAAGAAACCAAAGACTAGGCAGATTCAGGGATTGGAGAGCACAACTTAGGGCCAGGGTGTAGCATTTAAGGAGTTGAGGAATTCACTTCATCCCTAAAATTATGTAGCAGAAACGCTAAAAGGTAGGGTTCTGGGGCTTATCTGCTTCACCAAAGCCTGAACGACGGAGGAAGGAGCAGGAGAGCATGCTGGCGTAGAAGATGTCAACAGCGGCAGCGCCCAAAACCCGAAATGTAGAGACCCTTCAGCTCCGAGGCCCTAAACCCTAAACCCTAAACCCTAAACCCTAAACCCTAAACCCTAAACCCTAAACCCTAAACCCTAAACCCTAAACCCTAAACCCTAAACCCTAAACCCTAAACCCTAAACCTCAGCCCTAAACCCTAAACCCTAAGCCAAAAACCTAAAGGCCTAAGCATTGGCCCCGCTCCTAGGGGGCCGGGTCTAGGGTTTTTTGTTTGGGGTTTGGGCTCTGGGCCCTAAAACCCCAAACTCTAGGGGCGGCCATCGTCGTTATGGGTGAAGCATCACCTGCACCCTGAACCTTGTACCCTACAGCTCACACCCCCAAGCCTTCTACCTGTTGAGGGTAGAAAGGGTTTAAGGTTGAGGAAGATTACTCATCCATCCCCTAAACCCTAAACCCTAAACCCTAAACCCTAGACCTGAAAGTAGGTGCTTTAAAGCACTGAGGTGGGGCCTCGGCCCCAAGATCTTGTCCTCGCCCTCAGCAAGAGCCACTTGGGCAGCCTGGTTTCTCCAACATCAGGCTGTAATTAGGTAGATCCCTACCTAGGGGGTTACAGCCCCCAAAATACTAGAATTCTTATTCATGGGGTTACCCCTAGTATACCCCCAAAATACTGTATGGATGAAAGCTTGCAAGGCACAGCATGGCCATTCGCAATCCTTCAAAGACAGGGGTTCCTTATTCATGTTACAGGAACCCCCCCCCCCCCCCCAAAAAAAAAAAAAAAGAGAAAAGCGTACACAGTGTACACACGAATAGGGACACGCAATTTAGGGTTCAGGCACGTGCGGTGTCTGGGCTAAGTTTCAAGTCTCCAAAGCTGTTGGCTTGGGAAAAACGTTTATAAGTTCAGTTTTTAAGGCTCAGTACTTCGGACACGGTGTGGCGCTGCTAGACGTAGGTTAACCCTAAACTCGATAAAGCCTCGCAAGGGGCTTGAGGTCTGACTCAAAAAGCTCAACAACCGAAACTCTTAATCCTAGAACCCTGAACCCTAAACCCTAAACCCTACCCTAAGTCTCAAGCCTAGTGTGAACTCCCTCCCTTGAAGCCTGAGCCTTACTTGACGGTTCGTGGGTAGTTAGGGTTCTCAGCACCCCGAACAAGGTTATACTCAGATATAGTTATAATTACGCTACTTATAACCCCACATTTAACTACCCGTGAACCTCCAAACGGCCCCAAACTCTAAACCCTAAACCCTCTCCACAAAACCGAAACCCCAAGCCTCCAAATCCTAAACCCTTAACCCCAAACCCTAAACCTTCCAGGCCAGCCTCCTTAGTCACTGGGAAGAGACCTTAGTTTCCAAAGGCGCAGGGGCGTTGCGGGCTTGCAGGGTTACCTGGGGTCTCAGAGGGGAGCTTGGAGCGTTTGAACGGGTTCCCACAGGGTTGTGTGCCATAATGGCTTGTAGGGCCGATAAAGGTGTTTAGGGGTTCCCCTACACCCTACACCCTACACCCTACACCCTAAACCCTAAACCCTAAACCCTAAACCCTAAACCCAGGGGTTGGTAACTTAAGGTGAATGGGGTGAACCTTGAGACATGTGGGGGCTTTCAGGCTTACGGGTACGGCCCCTATGGTGCTTGGAGTTGAAGACTTGTGCGCTTTTGAGTGTGAGAATATGCATACATACAGACAGATACATGCGCCTGTACATATACATATATATATATATATATGTATATATATGTATATGTACATATATTTATATTTATATTGACACATAGGTCCGCAAAAGCAAGAGGTCCGTGAAAGCCCCTCACGACACATTGAAGTTCTAGATTTTCAGTTGCAGGGTTTGGGGCTTCCAGGCTTTGAAAAGACCATAAAATGCACTTGGCAAGGACTTGCCCTTCACAAGCCGAAAGCGTCACCTGTGTGGCTTGAGAGTTCAGGGTGAAGGGCTTTGCGATCTGCAGGGGCTTAGGGTGCTGACGCCCCTTTCATGACGCCCATGAGATTTGAGATGTTTGGGCAATAAATTTAAAACTACCCAAAGAGCCCAATACCTCTTAAATAAGGAATATACCTTAAATCATATAGGGATCCTTAATATGATTTAAGGTACATTCCTTATTCAAGGGGTATTGGACTCTCTGGGTACTCCGAAACCCCCGCATCTAGGGCGTGGACAGTCTTGTCTGAGGCGAATGGCGGGCGTGCCTGGGAGACGTCTTCAACTGCTCGACTTGAAGGGGCTTCGGATTCGGGATATAAGTGTATCAAGGAGAGCCGACGAGAGTGCCGTTCCCCAACACTGAACGTGAAGAGACGCTCCTGTTCCATGGTCCTATTGTCGGAAGAAGCGCTCGAAAGGTCAGTACTTGTCTCCTGTTCTACAGGAATTGGAGGGATGGTTGCTATCTAGATTGCCCGGGCACTTCCCAAAGGGGCAAAGGGCAAAGGGCCATCTGCGCCGAAAACGGAAATCATCTCAACCATGTTTCTTGTGCCGCATCTCATGGCGTACCTTCCCCAGAGGCTTGCACCTCTGCTTGGCATACGTCGTTGTTCAGGCTCTGCCGAAACAGTTGCGCACGATACATGACCCTTTGGAGTAGACCCTGGAAAAAGGTATATACTTTTAGGTATAGGTAGCTATAGCGGGAACCCAGAACGAAAAAATGAATTAAAGTGTAGTACTCCAAAACCCAGATGAATAGGTCTCCGGCGGCTGTAGCTTTCCATGACAATGTCATCGTATCGCAGACCTGAGCGGTTTGAAGTCCGTCTCTACATGTCAGCTGAGCTCTTGCTGTTGGAAAACATGCCGGGCTTCAGGGCTTCTCTTTCAAGCTTGAGGCACTTTGGGTCTCTATTACTTCTAGTTCATTCCTCATAGTCTATTCGAAACGCCCCTTAAGTCACATCACCCTCCTCCACCCACTTCATCCTCTTGAAGGGAAGAAGCCTCTAAACTACGACGAGTAAGCACGGGTTTTGACGTAGGGCCACTCATACAACTGAGCGCCCGGCAATGAGTGCTGATGGAGAAGGGCTGCCCATTTGCATCGAAAAGTCCTGAACCTGCCATGGGGAGATTGGTTTAGGGTTGAAGGGGTGGAGTTTGGATGGAGAGTGAAACCTACAAGAACCCATAACCTCATTTCCTCTAGATCTGCTGCATGTGGCCGACTCATTCTGGCAACGAGTCAGGGAGACTGTTCTCGACCGAGGCATACTGCGCATCGCACCTCAGGCAGGGCGTTGGCTGGAGTTTCCAATTGCGCATGAGATTCGCTGCAGCCCTCAATCCAAAAAACCGCCTGGAATGAGCACTATCTTCCATAGTGTTAAGGATGCAGCTTAGCTTATACTGCCAGGGATCTAATAATTAGGCTACTGGAACCCCCAAAGACTCATGTATTCGGTCCCTGGAAGTATATAGGGTTAGGGTAGCAAAGCCTGCAAAGCCTAAACTCAACTGAGACCTCGGCCCGTAGACCCGCATCGGTGCGGGGGCCTGCTGAAGGCGGCGCCCGGGCGGCCCACCACCGCCGCCACCGCCACCACCGCCACCATCGCCACCCGTCTCCCCCTTCGCGACCTTGACACACTTGACCTGAGACAGAAGCTAGGGTTCAGGGTTAGGGTTAAGGGTTTAGGGTTCAGGTTTCAGGGTTTAGGGTTCAGGTTTCAGGGTTTGGGGTTTGGGGTTTCGGGTTTTGGGACCCTTGAGTTCAGGACGATTATGATCCGGCGACGCTCGGGCCGGCGCCAGTGAAGCCTTTGTTTTAGCCCTTCCCCTTTTATACCCCACCGCCTGCACCCCTTATCGTACCCACAGATCCGACGTACTGCTCCCCCCTCGCCCCCGCAGCTGCTCTGCTCTTGCGACCCTTGCAACTCTGATTCTAAGATGCTCCGGTCTACGCCTATACGCCCTCACCGTCCCCACAGCACCCACGTAAATTTGGGACTGTGTTAACGAGGCTTCAGCAGACCCCTGCTCCTCGTACAACCCCCCTACCCCTGGGATGGCGGCGGCGCTGGCCTTACATAATTGTTACATAATACCTGTGAAAAGTATCTTTGGGTGGGGGAGGGGTGGGCTCCTTTTCTGTACTGAGGAACACTTTTCAATTGATGGCTGTAGGACGCGGCTTTAGGATCGCTAGGGATTCTGGGTGTGGAGTTCAGGGTATGGCTGGGATCAAGGATTAGAAGTGCTGAAATCTGGCCAAAAGGGCCCCACAAAAAAAGATCTAGATAGTCCCCTCTACCCCTAAACCCTAAACCCTAAATCCTACACCCTAAATCCTAAACCCTAAATCCTAAACGCCAAGATCCTACACCCCGAATACATTTACACACAAGTAGGGCCACTGCAGAATTTAATGGGCTAGAACTTCATTTAGGTACCCAACAAATCATGTGCAGCCTGCCCATGCACCATCAAACAGTGCGCCACTCGCTGAGGGCTTCGACGGCTGCTTTTTGGTTCAGCTCGTAGTACAGGTGCGACGTGACGTTCGTGCCCGGCGGCGCAGTACAGGAGGGTGCCCTGGCAGAGTGTGGTTGGTCCGTTCTGGCACTGAAAGCTAAGAAAGGAACGTGCCAGAACTAAGACCCCCAGCATGGCCCAACCCTAAACCCTAAACCCAAAACCCAAAACCCAAAACCCTGAATCCTAATGAACCCCAAGATAGAAAGCGCCAATCCTTGGGTCGAGGAAGGGCATGCAAAGTCAAGAGCAGAGTGGAACCCTGACCCCACAGCGGCAAGAAACGGCTTTTTTGGCTTTAGGGTTCAGGGTTTGGGGTTTAGGGTTTGGGTTTAGGATTTAGGGGCTTAGGGTTTGGCGTTTAGGTTTTTGGGGTTTAGGGAAACCATGGGGCACTTGTCTGGAGTGCCCAAACCATGGGGCACTTGTCTGGGGCCTCTCCCAGGGCCCCCATTTTGGATCAAACACTATGGAGGAGTTGAGGGCTTGAACCCATCCATGTGGCCTATACATGAATCCGTACTCCACAATAACCCAACACTAAACCAACAAATCTAACAGCGAACGACGGGAACCCTAAACTCTAACGAGCCCGAAGCCCTAAACCCTAAAGCCGAAACGCTGATTGGAGGCTTTGGGGCCTAGGAGTTTAGGGCTTAGGGTTCGGGAGTTTGGAGTTTATGGGTTTAGGGTTACCCTAAACCCTGAACCCAATCCTACACGAGCATGACCTTGGGCAGAAGTGCTTGACAAAGCTTCAAGGGCGCTCGGAGCTCATCAAGCAGGAAGCTCCCAGAGGATCCATGCGCTCAAGAAAGGGGCGACATAAGCTTGATGAGGGTTTAGGGTTTTAGGGTTTTAGGGCTTTAGGGTTTTAGGGTTTTAGGGTTTAGGGTTTAGGGTTTAGGGCTTAGGGTTTAGGGTTTTAGCTCAGCCCCGACCCCTGTGCAGAGGCGCAGCGTGAGACCTCCAGGTGTTGGCCGTGGTGCACTCTGTGACCGAGTCGACCAGCAGATGCCTGGCGGATCCAGAGAGCCGGTGTCGACCCAGAAACAGGGTTTAGGGTTTAGGGTTTAGGGTTTAGGGTTTAGGGTTTAGGGTTTAGGGTTTAGGGTTTAGGGTTTAGGGTTTAGGGTTTAGGTGACATTGCCACTACAGTCACAAAACATGGCAAAACATTTGCAGGGCACTGACCTTACTAAGCTGGTCCCTAAAACCCCCTGCAAAAAAACAAGAACATTCCTGTTTAGGATCCTCCTCACCCCACGAAGGGAAAATACAGAACAATCCCAAGGGCCTACCCAGCTAAGAATCGTGACAAGGGCCATCGGCTCTTGCATACGCCCTAAACCCTAAACCCTCAACCCAAAAACCCTAAAGCCTCAACCCAAAACCCTAAAGCCCTAAACCCCAAAACCCTAAACCCTAAACCCCAATGTAGTGTTCTGCAGGTTCAGATGAAGGGTTTAGGGGCTTGATTAGGGGTTGCAGCAGGGCTTAGGGTGTAGGGCTTGGGGTTTTGCGAGAAGCTGAGGAAATCACATAAGCCTTATGAACAAAGAGAAAGGAGACCCGTCAAGGAAGGCTCCGGCTTCCATCGTGGCCCTAGATTCTGAACGACTCCCTCAAAATACTTTGCTAACTTGGCCCCGTTGTATTGCTTCTAGAAGGGTTAATTGAAAGCGTCCCCCATGCCAGGCCGCAAAATTATGGGTCCAAGGCCAAGGTTGAAGCCTGAAGCCATGCAGATCACGAAGCCCCAAACAGTCGCCCGCATTCTAACCGTTACCCCAGCCATCAGCCAAGGAGGCTTGTGGTTTAGGGCTTAGGAGTTTCGGGTCAAGGGCATAGGCCTAGGTCTCTTCTCCCTCTGCGTCTGCAAGGCTTTACCAGGGTTCTGGGTTTAGGGTTTAGGGTAACCTTCCAAGCTCGCGCGTTCTGTTTGCAACTGTCGACCCTTGACAGTTCACACGACTTCCAAAATCCCAGGCTTTAGTCCCGGATGCTATCGTACATCTCTCAAAGGGTCAATCTTTCGATTCTGGGTCGCTCGGGCCATCGTGACCCTGGATTGAAAGTTAAAATACCACGAAGCATGCAATCTCCCTCCCCCCGTCCCTTGGTGGGGCGCAGCTTGTATCTTAGGGATGTGAGTCTTACCTTGAGGGCGCTCGGACTTACCAGGCTGCTGAGCAAGTGTAAGCCGGAGATGCAATCCCGTGTTGGAGGTGGCCTGGGCGTGAGGGTTGGGGCTGTCGGAGCGGGGGCGCTTCGGCACTTGAGTGTACGACCTGTCGCAAACCAAAAACGTATTAAAAAACAAAAAAATGCGCATGCACATAGTTAATTACAATATGAGGGTTTGGGGCGCAAGGTGTCGGGCACGCTCCTGCGGGGCATTCGTATGGGCGTTTCCTAAGAAGGGGTAGCCTATTCACAGACGAGTCTAGGAACCCCAACGAGGGTACCCCTTAACATAGTAACTCCTCTCCGGTTGTGGGGTTTGGATTTGTGGTCGTAGGAGGGTGAGGGGGGGAAAGCAAGCACAAAGCACGAACGTGCAAAGTTACTACGGCGCATGCCTACAACACATGGGGATCAGGGCTGCTACATGAACCCGCCCTTGCACTCTGGCCATAGGCCTTCAACTGCGAAGAAGGGCTGGGCGCCAGGCATTCCAGAAGGTCCCCTGGTCGTCTTTGAGGGACTCGAGGTACATACTCGGACTGGCAGCCGGCGGGAGCTGGGGGGACCGAACCTCAAGCCCCTGACACCCCCCCCCCCCCCCCCCCCCCCTACATGCGTAGAAGCCTACCTCAGCCCTGAACCCGAAATCTTAAACCCTAAGCCCTGAACCCCTTTCCCGCAGCTCCCGAAGCCTATGCCCCTGAGCCCCGCTACAACATCCCAGCCCCTGAAGCCATGATCTCCGCAGGATCTAGTAATCCTTGTGGAGGGGCTTCTAAGCTTTTGCAGGGGAGATCGGATCTTTTTGACAAACGATGGGGCAACTCCTGACCCGAGATTCTGCAATTAAGCTTCCCCCTGCCAGACTCGAGAATATGCACATTACCCTTATTGTTGTTTCTATAATTATGTCGGTACGAGAATGGGAATATTTAACATAATGGGATGTGTGGTGGTCTGTAAATTAGGGGGAGCGGATGACATGATGATCCTAAACCCGAAGCCCTGTAGGCCCTAAACCGTAAGCCTAAACCCCTAAACCCTCAACCCAAAACCCTGTAAACCCCGCGAACCAGCTAGGATTGAGGGCTCAGGGCCTACAGCTGAACTCAAAGACCCTTAGACCTCTTAGAACTCGAGTTGAAGGGTTTGGGTTTAGGGTTTAGGGTTTAGGGTTTAGGGTGTAGGGTTTAGGGTTTAGGGTTTAGGGTTTAGGGTTTAGGGTTTAGGGTTTAGGGTCTAGGGTCTAGGGGTTCGGGTGTCCGCCTCCATGTGTCTTTGCACTTGAGGTCGAACATCAAGTCCAGCTGGCACAGCTCCATGCACTGCCTTTGTAAACCCTAAACCCTAAACCCTAAACCCTAAACCCTAAACCCTAAACCAGTCTCGGGCTTTAGGGTTCAGGCTTAAAGCAAGTTTGCGAAACCCTTTTGCCTTGGGCATTCGCCGCATCAAGGCTGCTATGACGGATGGGGGCCAAGCCTCGAACCCTCAAACCCTCCGCCTTTCACTGTGTAATTTCCCAGAAAAGCAGCGCAATGTATAGAGGTCACAATAATTCGGGTTATTGTAGTAAGGGACCGCAATTGGTGACTCTTCCGACCCCGAAATTACGCCGTACCTATCACAAAACACGCAGACGCCCTTAGGAACCCCAAAAACGGCACGCCGAATCCTTGGACCTCCGTAGGATCCCTTCAAGGGAACCCCTGAACGGCCAAGCGCGCCGCCCCGGACCCGACTGGCCGCCTGTGTAGCAAAGGGGCTCAGGCAAACCCTCACCCACAAATCCTACACCCTAAAACCCGCAACCCAAGATTTCAGGTTTAAGGTTCACAGCATTGCTGCGTCTTTGCTGAGTTTTTTAGGGCAATTCTTTGAAGTCTACACCTTCGGGGGCTTTGGGGGGGCAATGTAGCCTTAGGGTTCAGGGTTAATAGGGTTTAGGACTCAGACTTTGCCTAGGATTGTGGGCGCCCTGAAGCTCCCACGTCCTGAAACCTCGGTGTCCTCTGCCATCTCAAAGGCGCACACTTATGCCGAACCCGAGCCATGAACTCGGAATCACGGCTCCGTCGTGCCCGTTTGCCCCGCCCAGGTCCCTCCGACGCGTCTCTGGCTTTGGATTCCATGTTCGCAGCGCGTGCGAATGCCCCAAGCACACCCGCGCGAAGATAACATCCATGTGAGCAGTGAGTGCGAATGGCCAGAGCACGCATGCCCGCACGATGGTAGCATCCATGTTACCAGTGGGTGCGTGTGGCCAGAGCACACATGGCCGCACGATGATGATAACCTCCTTGCTACCACTGCGTGCGAATGACGAGGATATAAATCAGCATCGGGGCGTCGAAGCGATTATCGCAGCTTTCGCTTCGTATCGTCGACGATTCGAAGACCCAGTCAAGCCAAAAGAGCTGTTCAGTCAGATCGACTTCCTGCTAACGAATCAAAAATGCAGACGTTCAGCGCGCAAAAACCTTGAGTTTTTAGCGTTTCTCAGTACAACATGTGCAGCAGGAGCACGCATTGATGCTGCCGGGGCACAAATACAGAAAACATCCGTGCAGAAACATCGAGTTTTTAGAGCCTTTTGCCTCAGACACCTGGTACAACGAGGTTACGACACTCTCGTCTCTCTTGTCTCCTTCCTTCTTTTCTTTGCCTCCACGCCTGCTCAGAGAAATGAGCATCGTGACAGAGCCCTTCCTCCCCCGCCAAACCCCAAACCCTAAACCCTAACCCTAACCCTAAACCCTAAGCCCTGAGCCCTAAGCCCTGAGCCCTAAGCCCTGAGCCCTAAGCCCTAAAATGTCCAAAAGCAGGACATGCAAAAGCCCCAGGCCTTGGACGTCCCTCGGCCGGTCGGCAATCTCAAAGATCCACCTGGGACGACGGAAGTTGGGGAGAAAAGGGGTTAGTGGGGGCGGCTCTAGGGTACGCATGGTTGGAAACACAAGGAGATGTACATGTGCCATAATGAACCCTACACCCCCAAACCCTAGACCCTAAACCGTTGGGCCCTCAACTTGACGCGGCACGGGCCTCACAAAGGACTACGGCTCAAGAAAGGACTACAGCGCAAGCTCTGGAAGATGTGAGGTTCGGCGCGGACTAGCACGCCCCTGCATGCGCCCTAAACCCTCAATTCCCACACCCTAGACCCTCTAGCCTCAACCCTGAACGACCCTCAGCCGCACCAATACCCTGAACCCTTGAATAACGCTGGAGGCCCTAGACCCGAACACGAGAAGTGAAAGACAGAAGGCTCCTAAGCCCATAAAACTCACTGGGAATTCCCCAGCCCCTTGACATAAGCGCCCCGGGCCTTATGGTAAGTTCCTTACAAGGATTTTTCAAGGTTGTGTAATGTTTAATCTAAGCCCTAAGCCCGAATTTTGGGAAACCGCCCCCAATCCTGAGCCGGGTACAGGTCGTGGCCTTGGGCGCTGGTGTCCACAGCAGTCTCCCCAGATCTGCAGCAAAGGAGGTTTACCGGGGTTTAAGCTTTCAGGTTTCGGCTTCAGAGGTCTAGCGAGTCTAGCGCTTAGGACTTACGAGTTTGGATTTGAATCAGGATTTGTTATTGGTGAAGGCGGTAAATCGCATGTCCCTCTTGCCCTTCTCGACTCGTCGACCTTCTTCACCCACTTGACTCTTGACCTTCTTGACGCGTTCTTGACCTTCTTGACCGTCTTGACCTGCTTGCCCCTCTTGTCCAGAGAACAGAGGATCAAGGCGGCCACGACCATGAAGACGTTCATGCGACATGGCGCGCCCCGTTTGCCGAGCTCAGCATGCTCCTATAAATACCGTACACGCAGGGTGCTCGCCTCTACAAGGTAGTCGCGCAGGCAAGCTGCAACCATTCATTTTCGTGTAACTAGCGGTGTCCTTGCCACAAGGCCTCCAAAACTTCTCAGCAAAGCTACCCCTGCCAAATTGAAGGCTAGGTGTTTAGGAGTCTATGGGGTTTAGGGGTTCGGGTTTGAACCCAAAACTCTCGAATTCTTAGACCAACGCCGAACCCTTTTTGGGGCTGGGCCAGCGCAGCCCTCAACCCAAGCTGTTAAGAGATAGTAACAGTTAGTGTTGGGACCCAGCCTGGGATTTAAAGGTTAAGGTTCAGGGACCCTAAGCCCTTAAAGCCTACTGCGCATGTGAAGCAAGCCGCGGTGGGTTGTTGTTCTAGATGCGAGGTGCTATGGGGCATATATGGGCATTTCCCCTAGATAGGGGTACCCCTACTATACCCCAAAATACCACAACCCTTCAATTAGGAACCCCCCCCCAAAAAAAAGATACCCCTAGTTTCGGAACCCCAACCTAAAATTCCATTGCTGGCAACGCATTGCTGGCCTAAGGAAGGTCATGATGAAAATGCAGAACACCACAATCAGGAAGGAGACCTGAAGGGCTCTTTATCATTCTCTGGTTTAGGGGTTTAGGGGTTTGCGGGTTTAGGGTTTGGAGGGTTTGCAGGGTTTTGAGGGTTCGGAGGGCTTTGAGGGGACTTAAATTAGGCTTTCAAGGGTTGCTTCCGGGACTGTTGGAAGTCCTCACTGGGGCCACTGAAGGATTGTGTAAGGCTTAAAGTTCCCAAGCATGTGGGAAACCTTCATTGTGGAGGTGCCGAACCCAGCAAAACCTCAAGAAGGTACCATTGAAGGGTCAGGTATCTGAGGGTTTGGGGGGTCTAGGGTTAAGGGTTTGGGGATTTGAGGCAATTGGGGTGTTCAGCTCGAACGTCATCACTCTCGTACTCCCTGGAGCCATCAACAAACGGAAACTAAGCCATTTGTACGAGACAGAGGTCAACGCTCAGCAGGCTACTTCAAGGTTCATGGGTAGCTATAAGTAGGGCTATACATGCCCTTGATGAGGATATAACTCTTGTTACCCTACTTCTAACCCCAAGACTTATAGCTGCCCATGAATAGCTCAATCCTTGCTGCACCTTCTCCAGAAGCTTCCGCAAGGGAGATGCCCTTGATTTCGGAGTTTCCCTAAACCACAAACCCTAAACCCTGGCGCCCCCCACGTCGACTCATGTCTTTTGCTGATGGCGCAGCTGGGATAAAACATCAGTTTAAAGCTGATGCTACACATGGGTGGCTGTCAAGATTATCCCGAATAGCCCCTAGTATATTACGGCACCAAATATTTAGGGTACCCCAAAAGAGATGATAATTTTGACAGCCACCCACATGAGTTAGGACTTCAAGTATTGTGCCCCTGCTCCACTCTTCCTTGCAGCCTCAACACATAATCCACCCCCCTCCCCCCGCCCCCACAACAATAACCCAAGACCCAAGACACTGAAGCATCCCCTCATTCTGAACGACCGAGCACACGGCCGTGAGTGTCGCAAGCTTTCTCATCTTGTGCAAACTGAGCCAGCAATGTCAAGGCTTTGCTTGTGGCCACTTAAGGACAGTTGCCAGACTCGGACCTATCGCTGGATACCAAACCTCATCCAGACTTGCCAAGATTCAAGCCCGTGAGGGTTTCGAGTTTAAGGTTGAGGGTTTAGGCTACAACCAAACAAAGCCCAGACAGTTGAGTCCTCGTTGCAGACCGACTAGCTTACTCTAAGCCCCAAACCTACCTGCTCCCTGAATGTGGCCTTACCCAAACCCGGACCCTACAAAGCCTGAACAAAAAACAAACAAACCCGAAACCCTTAAACCCTCAAGCCCTGTACATGAGTCACTTTGGACCTACTTGAAAGTACCTATAAGCCTTCGAATACATCCTCCAACGAGAAAGAACAACCAAGAAAGCCACAACAATGAACCCTGTATCCTTCCTTTACCACGCAACTCCCTTGCAATATCGGCCAATAATGGGTACTTAACTCATGGCACACGATGGAAAGTCCGGGGGCTCTGCTGAACCTAAACCGTCCTCCCGCTCCCGCAACCTCGGAATCAAAGCGCAAGGGAACTTGATCCGTAGAAAAGGAAATGTGGGTCTAATGGAAGTCCTAGAACCCCAAAAACATAACCCCTGCGCCCTAAACTCTAAACTCTAAACCTTAAACCCTAAAGTCCCCTGAGCTGCCCCTCTCTGAGTCAACTGCAACCAGCTGTAGTCCATGTTCTCCCAGTAGAGCTCTTCGGGCTCGCAGGTCTGTGCCGCGTTTAGGGTTTAGGGTTTATGGTTGGGGTTTGGGGTTTAGGGTTTGGGAAGAAAAGTTCGGCTTTCGTCCTTGTTTACGGTTTGGGAAGAGAGGTTCGGCTTTCGTCCTAGTTCTTAATCGGGAACTCGAGGATTGCCTTACCCCCCCCCCCCCTTCCCCCCCCTTGAGGAAGGTTTAGGGTTTAGGGATTAGAGGTTTAGGGTTTAGGGCGCAGGGTTCGGAAAGCTGCGACTGCAAGGTTTTAGAGTCAGAGTTCTGGTGAGCGACGGGATATGCACGCTCCACTCGGTGTCGTTGCATTGGTCGTGCAGGCTGCTTCTCCATCTGGAAGCCGCAAACCCCAACAACCCTTAAACCTTTAAAAGTCAGAACAGAACCCTAAACCCAAAACCCAAACCCCCTAAAACCTAAACCCTACATCCCCAGAGCCCAACACCCCTTAAATAAGGAATATACCCTTAAATCAGATTAAGGATCCCTTTATGATTTAATAGTATATTCCTTATTTAAGGTATATTATCCTTATTGAAGAGGTATTGGGCCCTTTGGGTCTGACCCCCCCTGGAACCTGCTCTTGGCATCCAGGTCGCCAGGGGTAGTTATGGTTTGAGAGGGGGCCACCGGGCCCAAGGTTGCCCCCTAAACCCTAAACCCTCAACCCTCAACCCTAAACCCCAAACCCCAAACCCTAAACCCTAAACCCAGGCTATCTCTTGCTGCTGCCTCGGTGACAGTCAGACGCCAGTCCTGTCTGTGGCAGGTTCCCAGCCCAGTTGCAGGGTTTAGGTGGGAGTTGGAGGTTCATGGGTAGTTACTGTAAAAGCGGGGTAGGCACTACTTGGAGGGCTTCAGACTTTTAAGACCTTATCTGACACGACGACTGGGCTAATCAGGGACCTGCAGAATCGTCCAAGCGCTGCAATTTATCATCCCAAGATCGCTTGTGGCCTTGAAGGTTCGTATCGCAAAAGCATCTCAAAACACAAGTACTTTGACTCCCCAAATTGGTACACAGATTGCGCTGACATTTTTGGGCGTCTCAGGGATCAGGGCTGCTCTGCCGGACTTCGCGACTTTGCTTCGCAGGTTCTCGAGTCTACTACTGTGCGCTTTGGGTTTTCGGCGCAGGGCTTCCTACTCTCCATAAAGAGCCCTCAAACCTTCATACCACTTAGCCCTAAACACTGAACCCTAAAGCCCTAAAGCTGCTTGAGACTCGTAGACGAATCAGGTCGAGAGGGCACGAGATTGAGACTGTTATTGTGCGAGTCTCCCCAACTCAAATCTAAACCCTCAAACCTAAACCCTAAACCCTAAACTAGCAAGGCGTGGGGGTGCCCCGGTACATAGCAAGTTCTCTCACACTTGGCCCAGACCCGAGGCATTCTAGGGACACGGGAAGATTCTGGTTCCCTCCTTCCCTTTAGGGTTTAGGGTTTAGGGTTTGGGGTTTGGGGTTTGGGGTTTAGGGTTTAGGGTTTAGGGCCCTAGACCCCATGAACCCCCAAAGTAGCCCCATGATCCCCAAACCCTAAACAGGGTGGTTTAGGGTTTAGGGTTTAGTGTTTAGGGTTTAGGTTAAGGGACCTTGAGCGTAAGGTAGGAGCTGCTTGGTGATGCAGGAACTATGTAAGGCAAGGGTTATATAGTGGAGCAAAATTGAGGCTCCAGCAAAATTAAGGATCCCTTCTAGGAGTTCCTCCCCTTATATCCCTTGATACGTGCATACAAGACGAGCCTCAATAAAAGACGAGCCTCGTAGTCATCGAGCCCTAAAGCCCCCTAAGCCAGACACTCAGGATGTCTGCGATAACCTCTTACTAAGATCCAACACGAGGCCCCCGCCCTGCCAACAACGCAAAGTTACAACCCTAAACCCTAACCCCCAACCCCCCAAACCCCAAACCCTAACCCCTAAACCCCTAAACCCCAAACCCCAAACCCCAAACCCTAACCCCCAAACCCCAAACCCCAAAACCCAAACCCGAACCCCAAACCCTAAACCCTAAACCCGAAACCCGAAACCCTAAACCCTAAACCCTAAACCCCCAACCCTAAACCCCAAACCCCACACTCCGCCGCATCCTTGAAGTGGAGGTAGTGGGGCTCGAAGAGCCGGGAGGCCCACCCGCGGAAGGGCTTGTACCTTAGAAGGGCTCAGGAGTTTGAGGGTTTTGGAAGTTTAGGGTTTAGGGTCTTGGCTTTAAGGGCCATACCCCACGTTTTGGAAGTTTAGGGTTTAGGGTTTAGGGTTTAGGGTTTAGGCTTTAAGGGTTTAGGGAGTAGGGTTTCGGGTTTAGGGTCTTCGGGTCATTCGCCAGACCCAAGAGGAACCTCTAGGAAGAAAAAGGATACCTCTTTCTGGTTTGAAAGGGGTTTTACAAGGGAACCTAAGCCTTGACAAAAGGGAATGTGTGCCTACTCTGGCTCCTAGTTCAGCTGCAGATTTAGGGCTTAGGATTTAAGGTCGCTTCTTCGGCGACTTGTTCATGGAGAAGTTGTTTTGTTTCGAGGGTATGCAGATCTCCCACCCCACCTGCACCCAGAGAGCCCAATCACCCGGTTTAGGGTTTAGGGTTTAGGGTTTAGGGTTTAGGGTTTAGGGTTTAGGGTGTCTGCGTCTACAATCAGGATCCCTGTAAACCAGTTTAGTGCAAGGTTCCCCGATGCAGGGTATAGAAACGAAGCCATTCATGTGGAGTTCGTGTGCCTAGGGCCGACGGCGTATTGGGGTTCAGGGCTTAGGGCAGCGTCTACATCGAAAGACACATGTGAAGTGATGTGTGCTCTCACAACCCTAAACCCTAAAACCCTAAAACCCTAAACCCTAAACCCTAAACCCTAAACCCTAAACCCTAAACCCTAAACCCTAAACCCTAAACCCTAAAACCCTAAACCCTAAACCCACCTTGGGCCTTGAGTGCCAACCCTTGCCTCCCAAAGCTTAGCAAACGCCTCGCTTGGAGGCTCATAGTAGAGACAGGGTTTGCAAGTAGTGAAATTGTACTTGCCGCATGACCCAACTTGGGGTACTTAGAACCTAGACCCTAAACCCTAACCCTGAACCCTAAACCCTAAACTCGAAGCCCTAAACCCTGCTTACATCTACCCGTGACCCTTCACGCCCCTAGACGCCCTAACGCTTCAACCATGTGGGCGCTGAGACCGCGGCACGTTGCAAATGGCATCCTTGAGCCTCTCCTCAAAGCGGCTTTTAGGGCTTGGGGGTTTAGGTGGTATAGGGTTTAGGGTTTAGGGTTTGGGGTTTGGGGTTTGGGGTTTGGGGTTTAGGGTTTAGGGTTTAGGCCAGCGATTGATTGTGGTGGAGTCCGGCTTGGTGATAGCGTGAAACCACCATCTTGCACTTGCAGACAGTTGGAGATCTAAGGAAACTGATCAAAGACGGAACGTAAATACAGGGCGGCACTCAGCTTTCGTTGGGTTTGCAGCTTGATGTGGGTCAGCATGAGGTTATGAGCACAAGAGATCACTTCTGGAAGATGCAGAAAGACAGCTTTAGCGTGTAAGTCAGCTCGATCATTGTGATGGATACGCCACAAATCTTCAGGATCAGTAGCATCATACTTGTTGCGACGCGCCTTCAACCACCTGATATTGTATGAACCCAAACCAGATGACAAGATCCCAGCAGTTGTTGCGATAAGGTCGCGATGAGGATGTGTGCACCATCGTTTTGGGTTGTAACCCTCAGCCAAAAGGCATTGGACAATCGCAACGACTGCCTTGTTATCACAAAAGACTGTGCATCTGTTCTGGCCAGCAATACGAAAAGCAACATTGGCTGCATGAAGCTCTGCACGAAATATACTGTGGAAACCGCCAGGTACAACACCCGAGGCGCAAAGAGTGTTTTGGGGCGACATCTTGGTTGTTTTTGTCACCGCCCATGTAGCCAAGATTGTATCTGGGCCATCTGCTTTTGTAGCAGAGCCATCTGTAAAAAAGAAGATCTCATCGTCAACTGTTCTGAGTTCGTCAATGTCGGGGTGATGATCTTGGGCCAGGGTTTCCTGAAAAGCATCAACAGCATCTTGGTGCGGGAACAGTCCACCTAACAGTGCACAATCCGGCAAGGCTTGGGCGGCATCCCATGTTTGTCCTGTTCGCAAGTGTTCTGTCCCGGGGCAACTGCGAGCACGATGTTGCAGGGTGCCTTCTTCTCCGCAGAAAATACATGTTGAATCTTCTTCCAAGAAACTTGCCTTACGATGGTTGGGAAAAAGACCCCCCAAACGAACCTTACTAAGGAAACCCTCCACCATCTCGTCGGGGTTCTTCGGCAGCTTAGATCTACACAGAGAAAAAGACTTAATATCATGGAGCGCGTGCTTCCCTCCCAGCTGCGGAACCAAATACGCTTCCCATGCCCTAAGCAACAAACCAACAAATTGCGTCACGGACAAGTTCCAGAGGCAAAAAGTTTTATCCCCCACTGAACAATGTCCATCCAGACCAAAGTCCCACCCGATCATACGCATTTGCTGTTGGAATAAAGACACAGGCCCTCGGGTTGTCGAAAAGGATGAATACGCCTTTGTTCGGACCGAGGTGTTCCACAATGACTGAGCAGACAGTCCAATGCTGCGAGCCCGGAGGAGCGATCTGAACCTTTGTTTAGCAGCATACAAAAAGGGCTCAAAGTTGCTGTCCGACATGAGAGGGACCAAATAATGCAGGTGATACTTCTGCTTTCCCCAAACAGCGCGGTTGCACTTCGCACGAAGTTTCATGAGGTAGGTTTTGCTGAGTCCAAAGCCTTCACATCCATATAGGGCAAACGGCAAAATGCCACGTTTGACAGACGCAGCCTTCCTTGCAAAAGACCATGGCATACACTGCAATCTATCCAAGAGCTTGAAGGCCTTTTCCATCCTATCATTTCGTAGAGTTGCGGAGGCCCTTGAACAGGTTTGGATTCCAAAACCCAACCCACGCATATTTGTCGCCACGCCAACTGGCAATCCAATTCCTTCCATGAATGTTTGCAAATGTTTGACCTGTTGCTTATTTCTCTCAAAAACATAAGACTTGCCGAAGTTCACCATCAGGCCACAATCTTTGGCGGGATGGTCCAAAGATACCATCGCACCTCCCATTGCTTCGCTGTCGTCCCCAAGAACTGTCCAGTCATCAACATATGTTTCAAGCGTCGCATCGTGTTTTTTACGCAAGTGACTGGTGAAGAGCCATGTAATGAGAATCATCTGAAGCACCGATAGGGGGCACCCCTCTGGAACTCCCACTTGTGACATGACCTCCTGGCCCCAAGTGCGACCACAAACAAAATGCCTTCGCAGTTTTTGCAGAAAAGCTGAGTATGTGAACCACAGGTCCCCCATCCCCAAACGGTTAGAGATAAGACCAAGCACCTTTCTGGGCAGCGTATTATACGCTTTGGACAAATCCAACGATATTCCCTGTACGCTGTTTCCCGACAAGAGAGCATCTTCCAACCTTTGTTGCACTGATAGAGCCAAGTCCAGCGCTGATCTGCCTGGAACTGATCCATAGAGGGTATCCGGGAGAGCAACCTGAACATGTTTGAGGGCCTTCATTGTCATTATCTTTGCCCACAGCCGATATACTGAAGCCAGAATTGTGATCGGCCGCATAGTAGAGATATCCCCAATGGCATCCGACCTATACAAGAGAGTACCGTGTTGATGAGCTAGCCTTGAGAGGAGAAGTAGACTTCGTGGATGTTCAAGCCCCAGTTGTCCACTGCAATCTCGCCAATTGTCCTTGTGTCCATGTGACTCACCAAGAGGCATTGACTCTAGAAGAGCAGGAAGATAGCCTGGTGAAGTGCAACTGGTTGGCCAACCTGTGAGTACTGTGCCACTGCTGGCAGGGATTGCGCAATGACCTCCGCGATCTCCCCGAAGATGTCCAGACGCTGTTGCGTTGTCTGGGCCCCATTACTTCCTATGAAAAGATCCATGATCCATGGCCGATGTCTGCTATCCCCGCCACCCCGCTGGGAGGACTCGACCCAGTGGCTTCGTGCATAAAGGTGCACTGATAGTAGGAGCTCCTTTCGGCCAAAGTCACCTGTTTTGCATAGGCCGCAGAGGCGGATTGCTTGTGGTGTAGCCGAGGTCGGGCTCTTTACTAGTAGCCTTCGCACATCCAGCTTCAGTCCGGGCTGCAGTGCCAAGACACTGAAGTCAGGGATCTTCTTCAATAGTAGGCTGATCTCAAACGTGTTGATCAGCACTGGTGCCTGAACTGTCGCGCGAGTCGGTGACTGAGCAGCGAAGCAGTCCATCATAGAATCATAGCTATGGCTGAAACAGGGATACCAGCGGCAATCAATGCCGTTCTCAAATCCATTGGCGGCCATAGGGCTGCTGGGGTATCCGTGGGCAAAGTGCCACCAGTCGCAGCATTGATGAAGCGTACAGCATCCAGAACCAAAGGGCATACAGATCCTTCGTCAGACAGGTTCTTTGAATTGACTGCCCCACTGAACGTAGAAGCCTGATGCGATGAAGCTTGGGCTGGATCTGCCGCCGGACCGACGTGTGGTCAGTTCGTTCGGGTTGGTGTTTAGCAGTTTGGGCTTACTACTATTTGCTGAAGAACCCCAGAAGAATAAACATAATACTGCCTATATTACCCTCATAAGGAATCATATTTTTTCTTTGGGGGTGGTGCTCCAACCACCTGATTCACACTGTCAACGTCGTAGAGGGAGACAGTGCATTTTCCAATCTTGCCAGGGGCGCATTGGCGCAGATTTCCATCATCCATCAGTGGCATTCATCCAGTCATGCCCCGTTGCTCCCGGCATGACTGCTACTTGGACTAGGCTCAAGCTCACTGCTCCCTGGACTAAGCTCGGTCTCACTTCTCTGCATGAACATCATTTGGACTAAGCTCGGTCTCACTTGACGCATCCGCGGCACCGAAGCAGCACACATGGAAGACGACAAAGTAAATCGCGAAGTAGATGATGTGGCACAGCGCGCACAGCATGCCAAACGCAAGGCACAGAATGAAGAATAACAAGCGGCCAATATTGCCCAGAAAGCGCAGAAAGGGGCATATCAGCATGGCACATGCATCGTCATCCTTGGAGCAGAGCGGTTGAAACTTTGGATGCAGCTGCTCCATGGCTTTCTGAATGCCCTGGGCCACACTTGAGTTTATGATTGGCTTGGGCCACACTTGACTCGCCGGTTACGAATTTGATGCGCCCTCTGCTGGGCCGAGGGTGAGCTTCTAAAAGAAATGCGTTTGGCAGAAAGGCTTCTGGTCTAAGGATCCCGCTTGGACTCTTAAATTAGCTTCCTTGTGATCAGCCGTGCATGTTGTGAAATTCTGACATGTCCTGACCACAGCGTTAGATAGGCAGGCCGGCACATCTCATCACAAACCCGGTGGACAAGTTTTTTACAAACGCGCCAGCGCCAGCCTAGCATTTTGCAAAGCTGATGTGGCTGCCTCAGCTGCCTCCATTGTCCAGCGGAAGCCAAGGTTGAAATAGGCTTCTCCACTTTCCAGAAGCTCGCATAATGCTGATTGCCGCAGGTTTTGGCCGCATGGCCCTTGTCTTCGGTAGCTGACAGCTTAGGTTTCTCAATTTGCTTTGGTTCGAGCCGCCTGTCGCCAGACAGCGCAAGCGAAAGCTTTTCGGGAGGTACTCCAGCTGGAAAGGCGCAGTGTGTCAAAGCCAGTCATGTGCTGCCAAGCTCCTTGCAGAGAGACATTCCATGAAGGCCGAGCGCGCTGAAAGCACAACAGTCAGCAGAGCAGCTCCTGCAGCGTCAGAGCACGCAGGAGCACACATCTGAGCATTTGAGTCATGCTCAGATGCTTCGTAGCTTGGTTGAACCTGTTCCATGAATGTCCAGCCCGAGGCGCGGGAAGAAGCGGAGAAATCTCCATGAGCAGCCTTACAATCAACTCGTGTCGGCTCCACTCCAACCCCTAGCACACCCTATTCCATTTGGCCATAGCTACGTCAAAGCACTGACGTCAGCACTACCCACAGCACTGGAGGCACGAAAAGTTGAAGCTTCAAGTCTAGGTTGAAGGAGCTCGGTGTATTGGGGCTGCGTAGTTTGAGGAAAGGAAAACAAGCTGCTGCCCAAGCACAGCGAGCCGACAACCTGCCATTCGTCCGTCTTCGCCAGACTGTCCGGGCACCTCAGCTTCCTGCCCGCATGTGGCAACGAGAATGACCATGTGACCATGTTTCATCAAGCTGTTCAAGCTGTTGTTCGTGATCATCATGAATAAGGGCCGAACAGCGCCGTGCTCCTGATGTCATTTTCAAAAAACGCCACGCTGAAACAGCAACACCAGAATATGATACCAGCAAATGGAAGCTGGGGCTGCGTCCGTGTTTGTTCTTCGGCTGTAGCAAATTCTATTCTGCAGGGTTGCAGCTACCCCTACACCAGTGACCATGAACTGGTAGAGCGAGGCCAAGAAGTTGACCCGTTCTGCGGGGCCTGGTAGGCCAACGTAGCGTGGCGACACTACCAGTGCATTTTGCTATATCCTGGGTCAAAGTGAGGAGCCGTGCAGTTTCGATGTTGAAGTTGGCGTTGCCGGTTCCGACCCATGTCGCCTGTCCGGTTGTCATCGAGATTCGCTCCTGCAGGGCCTTGTTTATGATGATCATAATTGGATTACCAGCATTGTTAGACCAAGCTTGCAGGGCAGGAACCGGATGTCCAGGCGTGTTCAAGGGTACATTCCCTCCTCCAGCCACAGGAGGGCCGGTGTACCCAAGCGTTCTCATTTCAGCTGGCAACGTGGCCTCCCCGTTCGCAGCACCATTGAAGCTGTCCAAGTGCAGTTGTAAACTGCCAGCAACATTTACGCCATGCACCATTGTGTTGGGCGCATTGGGAAGCCAAGGCTGTTGATCGAACTCCACTGGCATGCACACCAAATCAGCAAGCGCCACAGCTTCCTCCACCGATAAATCAATGTCAAGGGCCAAGGTGCTCTTGTGGCTGAAGGCAGCTTTTACAGCTTTGTAGTAGCGTGGGTTCACGACGAGTACATTGGATCTGTTTGGAGATGTAGCAGCTTTCGCTGGTGCTGTCAAGCCCATGTGCCTGTACAAGTCTTGTGCCACAGCAGACCTGAATATCCGCGAAAGCGAGCCTGCCATGCACGCTTGGCTTTTTGAAGAGCCAGCCAACATCACGTTCAACTCGCCAACTTCCGGTCCGCTTGCGCTGTTGGACTCCAATACTTGCCCGACTGTGTTTCGCAGGGAGCTTGCCGTACTCCCTACAATGGTTGTAAACAGCTCAGTGCCTTCTCTGAGTGAAGCCACCACGGGATGACGGGTCCCTCTGACTCTCTGTAAGAGTAGGGCGCAACATTGAATGCTACGCCTCTAGGGACCCGCAAATTCCCCGGGTTCACATAGGCCAACGTGGCGCCAGTCTGGAATGTCCGAGTTACTTGTGCCAGTCCATCAGCTTGAACTCGCATAGCACTCGTTTAGGGTTTAGGGCTTCAGGGGTTAGGGTTCCGGGGTTTAGGGCTTTAGGCGTTCAGGGCTTTACGGGTTTAGGGTTCAGGGGTGTAGGGCTTTAGGGGTTTCGGGTTCAGGGGTTTAGGGCTTTAGGGGTGTAGGGCTTTAGGGGTTTAGGGTTCAGGGATTTCGGGATTTAGGGTTCAGGGCTTAGGGGGATTTAGGGTTGTGGGTTCAGAGGCGGAGCAGCGTACATCGCAGAAATTTCGACAAGGGCAGGGGATGGACGTTTTAAACCCCAACCGTTTATTCGTGCCTCTGGTTTGCCTGCTGGGATTCTTGCCGCGAAGGTCTTGAGGCGAGTGCTTCTAAGAGGTACTACAAGGTTTACAAGGGTGTAGGGTCTCGGGATTGAAGATAGAGGCGCTTATGGCATGCAGGGCTGCCCCATACACGCCTTAGGGCTTTAGGGACCCCGAGACTCATGATCCAGCAAGAGACCGGACACCTAGCCCGGGTGTCCTCTTCAAACATGACGAAGGCGCCACAAACCTGTCCATGACTGCCACGTTGTCGGCTTTTAGGGTTTAGGGGAATAGGGCTGAGGGCTCGAGGGATTGAACAGGAATTGGGGTTTGGGGGCTCAGGAGTTCAGGGCTCAGGGCAGCGCGTTCGGGCTGGCAGTTCATGCTTAGACCAGGCACGCGAATACGAGACTCATCGCAAGGAGCACGACTCACGCTGTTGCACAGGAGCCGAAGTACTGTCACCTTCGTTTTGAAAAGACCACCTACGCCTCGGAGCAAGAACCTCGAAGCTCACTTGTCGGATCTTGGGGGTATGGGAGGGGGGGTTCGCGTCCGCCTCACGCTGGACGTCTTGCAGGTCCTTGGTGGCGACTCGCCGGTTCATTTTGTTTCGGGCTGAGGGGCTCGGGCATTTTTTTTTTTTGGGGGGGGGGGGGGGGGGGGGGGGATTGGGGCTTAGGGTTGACAGTGTTCGCCCACCGATAACCCTTAACGTGCAGAGGCAACGCTGCTTGGGCGGCGTGCATGGGCCTCCTCAAGAAAGCAAGGCCTGACTGTAAGGAAAGAACACGGGGCGCCCCTGCTTGAAGATTCATGGGCAGCTATAAGTAGGATGATACGTATCCTTTATAAGGTTATAACTTATAACCTGTTGCAGTTATAGTTACCCTACTTAATATACCCCCACTTATAACTACCCATGAACCTCCCAGTCGGGGCCCCAGGAATCTTGAGAACAACTCCAAAGTCTGAACTGAACCGCGCGTCCTCGCACCAGTGACTTCCATGCTTGCAAAAAGAGGCAATTTAGGGGTTTAATTAGGGTTTGGGTAACAGGGTTTAGGGTTTAGGGTAGCAGAGTTTAAGGTTGAGTGTTTCGGGTTTAGCAGCGCAGCAACTCCCCTAAGCTACCAAGTGCATATGAGGGGTATCGATCTGCCTGATTGGCACTTTTCGTCTCAGGAAACCCTGAAGCCGCCCCATCCCCGCAAGAAGAAGCTATGCCAGAGACCCCCTAAACCCTAAACCCTAACATGGATCTACCCTCATATCGACTTGTGAGGATTCAGCCTCCAGGGTTTAGACCCAAGGAGTATCCAAGGAAGACAAAGGGTACCCTTCTTGGCTTAAGGGGGTTTATAAGGGAACCTAAACTTTATAAGGGAACCTAGACCCTAAAAGAAAGGAATGAGGGCCCTACTCTGTGTCCAAGGCCTCCGGTATTCTCAAGATTGGGAACTGCAGTGGAGCTTAAACACAGGGGATGGTTTTGCTGTCGCGGGGCAAGACGCCGTGTTGTTGCAAGTTTCGAGGTCGGTATTAGAAGGGTTTAGGGTTTAGGGGTAGCTTTTGCCGCCCTAGGTTCCCCGTCCCTGCCATCCCTGCTACGAAACAGCAGCAACAGTTGCAGATTGAAGCGAAACCATAAACTCCCTTCTTGTGTTCAAAGAGAGTCAGAGGATAACCCTAAGGCCGGAAACCCTAGAAACCCTAGCCCCTAGACCCTAAACCTTAAACCCTGAAACCCTAAAGTGCACTCAAGATCCGAGACCCTCAATCCCCAACCTAGAACAACGTTGCAGAAGCTGGGCGCCGCACCGACTGGTGCGCCAGGCTGTCCTGCCGCAGAGAAGTTGCTTTGTTCCGAACTTGACGGTTCATGGGTAGTTCTAATGAGGGTGTTAAGGAGGGTACCTATAGTTCTGATGGGCTATGAACCTTATTCAGGGCACTTATAACCCTACTTACTATAGCTACCCCTGCACCTCCAGGTACACTGTTTCGGGTTTAGGGCTCTCGGCAGAGAATCTAAAATAGGGGTGCCTGTTCTGGGTCCTTACTATAAGGGAATCCTACTAGTTGGGGGTTTATCATAGGGGTCCCCTTTTTTCGTAAACCCCCACATAATAATCCCTTTAAGGGTTATGCAGGGTGATGAAAGGTACCTACGTCGCTAGTCCCTGCAAGGAAGTCATCAGCAAGCTCTGAACCCCACGCCCTGCGGATTTGGGCTTGTGGGCCGTGGGCTAAGGCTTAGGCTTGAGGATCCCAAGGCTGGGTATACGTAAGACGAACCTGTAGGCTGGGATTCGTTTGGGGCGTTGCATCTCAGAATGTCTGCTATTGAGTCTGGAGTGTCTTCTGGATGCGCATGAGCTTGTGCTTGCCTTGGCGAGATTTAGGAATGTGCTGTGGATTAAGGGTGTGGGGTTTAAGGTTGAAGCCTTCTTGAAGCTTCGTTTGGGGTTGCATTCATCTTCCGACTTTCTCCCTGCCCGAAGTAGGTGCGCACATGCAAGCACGAACCAGCAGAGGAGAGCTGATGGCAGTAGCCGGAAGTTTCCCCCGAGTTCCGGGGGATACACAAGGAACTCAACCCTTGACAAGTATCCATGTCAACCATCCTCGATCGAATCGATCTTTTGCTTGAGCTTTTGGCGCTTCCTGCCATGTCCACTCACGTGCATTGAGTTGATTTGAGTTGTGCATAGGGGCGGATCATTCGTTTCGATCAGATGTGAATTAGCGAGTGGCTGTTTTTTTAGCTGTCAGCACTATCTGAAGACCTTTGTGGCAACAACATGCAGGCTTACCCTAGAATAACCTCTTGCGGCATGTACGCTGCATTTACATACGAGGGTTGGCAGTTAAAACTGGAGGTTCATAGGTAATTATAAGTGGGTTCTAAGTGGTGTAAGTGCAAGTATAACTGGTTATACCTTGTTTAGGGTACTTATAACCTCATGAACCTTCAAGCAGTATCTGTAGCCAGTAGCCCAGCTTGAAGGCGCAGCTGGGTTGCGTACGCATTCTAGGCAGAAGGGCTAAACACTACCAAAAAACGGCATTGTTGAAGCACGAGCGTAGAATGTGAGCTGAATGCTGAGCCCTTCTCTACGACGCTCACCTCGGGGGCTTTCCCCCCTATCCGCACCCCCACCCAAACCCATCATCGTGCAGTTGCAATCCTCAACTCCCCTCAACCTTGCGCCTTCAACCCACTAGAGCCACAACCGCAAGCCCCAAACTCCAGGTTGCAACCTTCAACTCGTCCGTCGCACCGAGGTTTGAAACTGAAACCTTAGCCAACCTCAGAAGTCCTCCAAGCGTCAGACAGAAGAGCCTCAGCTCGTATAGCCCGCTAAGGCCGCTCGTGAGAAGGGAACCCCAAGCCCTGCCTGTTCCTCCCAAACCGTACAAAATTCGCACCAGAATGGAGCCCCAAAAGGGAGCCCTGGGTAAGCCCTGCCACCCGACCACCCGGCGATAAGGGCGGCTTGCGGCGCTTCTCGTGCTTCTCGGCATCCTTATCCTTCCCGGCTTTCTTGGCAAGCCTCGCAGCTTTGCTATACACCCGCGACGCGAGAGTCCCCCCCCCCCCCCCCAAAAAAAAAAAAGCCCTAAACCAAGCCCGAAACACTAGAGCGACAAACGCTTCAAGCCCCTAAACCCTTACCCCTGCATGGCCAAGCCATCAAAAAACACACCCCGGCAGCACTTAAACCTATTCCCAAAAAAGCATCCGGCCATGTAATCTTATGACAGACTACGCAGCATGCCCCTTCTGAACCATGCTGAAATTTCCATAGCTCCTGAAAACCTAAACCCTCAATAGGGTGCTAAACCCTAAACCCTTCTGACGTTTGGTCCAAGGGCTAGCAGGGGTTTCAGGGGTTCTGAGCGCAGCGCGCGGAAATATTCCCCTAAAGCCCGACTCCCCAACCTTTGAAACCTTAAATTCGCTGTTCAGTTATACAGTATACATCGGGTTTAGAGTATGTGGGCTTTTTGTCTTCCGTTCTCACTCTCTGTCTGTCTGTCTGTCTGTCTGTCAGTCTGTCAGTCTGTCAGTCTGTCAGTCTGTCAGTCTGTCAGTCTGTCAGTCTGTCAGTCTGTCAGTCTGTCTGTCTGTCTGTCTGTCTGTCTCTCTCTCTCTCTCTCTCTTCCTTCCTTCCTTCCTTCCTTCCTTCCTGCTTGACCCCCAGGAGTGAAACCGAGACTCCTACGGACAGGTCACACCACTCATAGCAAGAATCCCTTGTCAAAAAGAACCCCGCCCCCCCTGCGCCTCAGAAGAACGGCACAACCTCCACATCATAACCCTGAACTCCCGACTGGCCTGGAGGCCACGCCCGCCTCATGCATTTCCTGTTTAGGGTTTAGGGGGGTTTAGGGTTTAGGGTTTAGGGTTTAATGTTTAGGTTTAGGGTTCAGGGTCTTGAGGTGTGAGGGCTTGGGCCCTTCTGATTCTTTCTTGATGCTGGGTAAGTCGGATTCGGCCCCAGGAAGGACGCGCGCCCGGAGCTCCAAAGCCCAAACAATGACATGGGGGGCTTAGGGTTTAGGGTTTAGGGTTTAGGGGCTTCTGTCAGATTTGCAGGGAACCGAGAGCCCCTCGACGATTGAAAGCTTCAGTGCTTGGGGATCTGATCTTGTGCAAGGCTCTTTTTGCGGACCGTGTCTGGGTGTGAATGTTTTCCTGCAGAAGGGTGTGGGGGGGGGGGTTTGGTATGACCAAAGAAATCTCTCAACAGCGAGCTGTAGTACTGCCGTTGCCGCTAGTGTTTCCAGTCGTCTCGATGGCATGAATGCTTTCTGTGATGACGTAGGTTTTTGATGTCGAACCATATTTGAGAATGTAGTTGGGATTTGAGCCCAACCCCTTGGCCTGAACCCTGAACCCCGAGGAGGCGCGGCCTCAAGGAGGTTGCCCTGCTGCAAGAAGAGGGAGATGCAGCCATCCTCATGAGGTTTTCAATGTCTCAGGGGGAGGGGGGGGGGAGGGGGGGGGGGGGCGGGGGAGGGGGGGGGGGGGGGGAGGGGGGGGGGGGGGAGGGGGGGAGGGGGGGGGAGGGGGGGAGGGGGGGGGGGGGGGGGGGAGGGGGGGAGTGGGGGGGGGAAGGGGGGGAGGGATGCGGGGCGAAAGCCTGTCAGCGTCAAGAAAGCAACAGGATGTTGCCTGCATCCACTTAGTGTTCACATTGTAACAGTACAGCGGTTAGAAGCGACCAGTATTGTTTCATTCAACCTACAGGGAATCAAAGCGGATAACGCTGGTAGTTCTCTAGGCGCCTGTACTATGCAGGATGAGGGGAGGACGTTTCGGCTCGGAAGAAGGGTGTGTCGTCGAGGCTTTTGCGGGGAGCGGGCTTGGGGTTGAAGGCGCAAGTGTTAAGGGCTTACTTGGAGGTCATGGGTAATTAAAAGTAGGGTTATGATTAGGGAACTTACTTAGAACACTTATAACCCTCTTTCTAAGTGAGGTCATGGCTAGTTTTAAGTAGGGTTATACGTAGGATATCTCTAATGCAAACTTTATTCGACCACTTACTCGTGAACCTCCCCAAGTAGGGCTCAAAGTCTAAAAAAAGAGAAGCTTCTACCCTAAACCCTAAACCATAAACCCTAAACCGCTGCAGTGCAGGAGTGGGGGGACTTTCAAAGGTCCAAGCAGCAACACGGAAGGTTTTCCGGATCTTTGACGATTCGGCTGCAGACCCCCCCCCCAAAAAAAAACAAAGAGAGAAAACAACAACACACACACACAAACAAAAAACAAGTAATAATAACAACAACAAAAATTATCATAATAATAGTAATAATATGCTTTAGGTGATTACGGGCATTCGACTGTTTAGGGTTCAGGGCCTTCGGAATCGCTGCTGTTCGTCGCCTCAAGAGCCGAAGCGCATGGCCAGTTCAGACTTCAACTTATGAACCCCGATGCCCGACTTGGAGGGTTTAGGGTTTAGGGTTTAGGGCTCGGGCTCGGCCCGAAGCAGGCACAGAAAGGCCCGACGGGAAGCGCCTAAAGAACAAAACTCCCGCAGAAATTGCTAATCGGCAGCGCAACTAAGGAGGTACAATCCCCTAAACCCTAAACCCTACACCCTAAACCCTAAACCCTAAACCCTAAACTAATTGAGGCCATGGCATACTCACGTATGAGGGTCACTTCTGCCACCTTGCCCTGGGGCAGCCGTGGGGTTTGAAGCGAAATCAGGGTTTAGGGTTTAGGGTTTAGGGTTTAGGGTTTAGGGCTTAGGGTTTAGGAGTTAGGGTTAGAGATTTGGGTGTTCATGGGTATTAGGTACCTCGACAGATCAAGACAAATTGTGCTGCGAGTGCTTGGCTTTTGTTTCAATGAAGCTTCGATGAGAGTGTCATCTGGCTTAGGGTGTATCTGGGGCTCTAACAATTTGCAGGTTTCAGCTTTGGGTAGACATTTTGCAAGCTCATAATAGAAGCGAATTGAACCTATTAATAGGGGAAATTGAGGGGATGGCGTAGGAGATTACCTGGGTTCTTGCGTTAGCAATCCTGTCCTCGGGTTGAGGGGACTAGACTCTTAAGTCTTGCACTGCAGTGTCGCCACAGCATGACCTTCTGCTGCAGCCTGCTGCTGCGCACGCGATAAGGTGACGCACAGGGCGCGGCTGTTGCGTCACGGCCACGCGTGGCAAAGATGCTTCGTCTTGCACGCAACGACCCTCAAGTGCAGACGGGCAGTCACCACACTTGAGTTCTCAGAGGTGCATCTCGGCATGAGACCACTGTCAAAACTCTACCGTCGGGCCTATGTCGCGCAATAGCGGGGCGTCGCTTTTCGGTACTCCCTGTCGGTTTTACAAGGGTTTGTTGATGGTTTTGTTATGGGCCCCAACTGCAACCCGGCGATTTACAGGGGTTTGTGTCACCGGCCAGCTGTCAGTACCAATATGTACCAATGATAGCGATGGACTGATGTTTCTGCTCTTCTAATGCGACATAATTAGCACACGTTTCATAGGTAACGCAGTTTCTGTAAGTACTGGTCGGAATTGCTGATTTTCTTGTGCTCACTCTCCAAAAATGGCCAGTCTTTTGGCGCAAGAAATCTAAGAAACGCGGTTCCAAAAAACGTGCGGCAAGTACCATCAACATGCCGAAACACTTGGCTTTTCCCACGCCAGTAACTCGTCAGGCTTCATGAGCCCGATCGGGTTTCTTAGCTTTTTGTCCATGAAAATGTGACGAAAGAAAAACCAAAATCCGGCGGTTCTTCTTGAGAAACGCGATCATGTCTCGTAGTGCGCAGAACCTAGCGGGTTTTTAGAGGCATGGGTACTAGAAGGGGCGTCGCTTGTCGGTGTTCCCCGTCGTTTTACAGGGCTTTTTACCCGACCCGTGGGTTTAGGGATGTACTTGGAGTTAAGGCTGGGGGCGGTTTACAAGGTTGGGGGTTTAGGGTTACGGACTCGATAAGCTCTCCCCCCCAATTCCCCCCCACCCAAACCCTACCTAGACCCTGAACCCCTCACCCCCAATTAGTAATTTCTCCTCCTCCACAAAGAAAAAACAAACCTCAACCCTATAGAACCCAAACCCCCCAAGGAATGGAAAAGGAGCCAGCAGATACACCGAAGACCCCAAAACCTACAGACCATGAATCCTGAACAGTCAAACCCTGACACCCTAATCCCCGAAAACCCTAAAAGCCTGAACCCTGAAACCCTACTTGGCGGTTCATGGGTAGTCCTAAATAGGGTTCTAACTACCCTAAAAAAAGTTATAACCAAGCATAAAGTATCATATTAACCTACCTAGAATCCCACCTAAAATAAAGGTATAAAAATAATAATTATTATTACTATTACTATTATTATTATAAAGGTATAATAATAATAATCTGAATAATATTAGCTGTACATGAACCTAGTAAGTAAACCCCTATAGACTTTGAACTCTCGGAACAGCCCACCGGGCGCGGGGCTGGCTCCGAGATCCCGCACTCCGTCGCGAGGATCTGGCCCGTTTTGTTGAGGGTTTAGGGTTTAGGGTTTAGGGTTTAGGGTTTAGGGTTTAGGGTTTAGGGTTTAGGGTTTAGGGTTTAGGGTTTAGGGTTTAGGGTTTAGGGTTTAGGGTTTAGGGTTTAGGGTTTAGGGTTTAGGGTTTAGGGTTTAGGGTTTAGGGTTTAGGGTTTAGGGTTTAGGGTTTAGGGTTTAGGGTTTAGGGTTTAGGGTTTAGGGTTTAGGGTTTAGAGCTCAGGAAATGAAATTCCGGGTTGCGAGTGGAGGGGTCTGGGAAGTCTCTCAAGGTAGATGGGGGGGCCTGACTGTGACCTGAGGTCACTTGGGTGGACCTAAACCCTAAACCCTAAACCCTAAACCCTAAACCCTAAACCCTAAACCCTAAACCCACTGGGCCACCAGTTCTGGGAGCCGGACATTCTCGAAATGCTGCTGCAGCAAGTCTTCCTTAGCCACCGCGCATTCTTCTTTGCAAGCCCTTGACCCTCGACTTATGATTATTATTATTAGTATTATTATTATTATCATTACTATTATTATGAAGATCATGAATATTGTTATTATTATCATGCTGATTTGTCCTGCTAATATTTAACATATATGCCCCAAGACCACCAAAACCCTTAGATACTAACACCCCGTCCGTCTGAACCTAAACCCTAAACCCACATCATCCCTTCTCGCAACCGTTATGATGAACAATCGACCACAAGCCGGCCTACATATGCATTCTCACTTGGATGGTTCCCCAAGTTGCTACGAAACTGTGGCACCAAATTTCACTTGCTCTCATCCACGAAAGGTGTCACGCCCCTTGTGAGGCACATACCTGGGATTCCTGTGTGTCGTACATGCACGCTTGAAGAATGGATTCCGTAAAGTGTCGACAGAATCCGTGTGCTTCTACCCGGAAGACCAGTCCCCAAGTCTGCCCTTGGGGCCGTTTCGTGACATTACCAACCCAAAACCCTAAACCTGAAACCCTAAACCCGAAAACCCTAAACCCATCAAATTGCAGCTGCTCCCATGTTATCCGGGCTCTTTGGACTAGTTGACGAGCAAGCCAATTCTGTTCCAAGCTCATACGTTGCTCTGTCGAAGCGCGACATGCGAACATGACCGCATGCTTCCGATGCTGCTGAAACAATGCATTCTGATAATGGAACAGCCAATGTTGCTTGCCAATGAAGATATGCTGCAGTGCATTCTTGAAATTATGTAGAGCACCAATATAGCGTTCGAATGTGAGTGTACAAACAAGAACTGCTCCCGTCTCACTTGCCTGGCATGACTTCGGTCCTCTTTACCCAACATGCCGTTCTAAACGAAACCTTCAGCGGCTCTATCCCGGTAGTGACAGAACTCCCTTGGGCCCTACGCCCAAAACCGTCAATCACCAAGTCACACCGAAGCAACGGAACCCTGGGTTTAGGGCTTAGGGTTCAGGGTTCGGTACCATCTACAGTACAGATACTCAAGCTCAAACCCCATGCCCTACAAAGCCCCTAGTCCCTGAACTCTCAACCCCTGGATCCAGCCTGAACCCCTGAACCTTAACCACAGGTTCTCAAAACAAACGAATTATCTTCCACAGCACTCTTGCACCCCCCAAAAAAGTTAGAGACCTTCGGCTTTAGGGGGGGGGGTTCGGGCTGCAGGGTGGTGCAAGCATTTGCGGGAAGGCTGGAACAGGGGCCAAAGAAGAAGATCACCATATGCCGCCACGGTGCATACTGTGGATGGTCCTTCTCGTCCAACTTCCTTTCGAGCGAAACCCGAAGCCAGCATAGGCCCGAACACATCTGCTCGAAAAGTATGACTTACACACAGACATACATACATACATAAATATAAATATAAATATAAATATAAATATAAATAAAAAAAATAAATATATATATATATATATATATATTTTTTTTTTGCTATCTTTATATTTGTTTATTTTTGGCTCTTGTTTTGATTTATACATAGTCAGGGTTTATAACCTACTGGTTTGCTGGGTTTGGGAGCTGCAGGCCGGGTTCTAGAGGGGTTTGGGCAATTCAGGTCTCTGAGGTTAAAGATTCAGGATTCAGGGCTTTTAGGGTTTAGCGCCGGTTTTGAGGGTTCCGAATATGTTACGAAAGTCCAGACACCAAACCCGAAACCAACCAACGCCTTCCTAAACGCTAGAAGCCGAGAAATCGTTTGGATATGTTGCGGGACACCTCTGCACCTCCCAACCTTGTGAGCCAACACACCCTGCATTTACAGGTTCGCAGTTTTGAGGAAAGGGGTTTAGGGTTTAGGGTTTGGGGTTTCGGGGTTAAGCTTTCTCCCCCCCAAAACAGCAATTTCAACACTAAGGAGATCCAACATGCAGGCAAAGCGGGCCCCGACAAATTACACCCCTGAACCCAGCCTTGACAACCGAAACCAAGTCTTTTGTAGCCTATGACTGAACATATGGGCCATTGTGGTCCGACTCGGGAACCTACAAAAGACGCTCTAAGGCAAAACCGATACCCTGTGAAGCCCTAAAACCCTAAACCCTGAAGAGTCCACCTCCCCCCCCCCCCCCCCCCCTCTACGTGCTGAGCCCTAAACCCTAAACCCCGAACCCTAAACCCTAAACCCTAAACCCTCAACCCTCAACCCTAAACCCTAAACCCTAAACCCTACACCGTGACCCCCGGCCCCCACCCATGTGCGGCCTTGGAAGACCGGACACGCGCACAGCGTAGTCGCTCGCAGTGATGTTGGCCTTTGGTACTTCTACCCCGGTTTAGGGTTTAGGGTTTAGGGTTTAGGGTTTAGGGTTTAGGGTTTAGGGTTTAGAGTTTAGGGTTTAGGGTTTAGGGTTTAACTGCAGGGGTGCAAACAGGAGTGAACAAAGGTGTAGGGTGTAGGTTTTAGGGTTTAGGGATATGGGGTTTACGAAATAGGGGACCCCTTAGACCCCCGAATAGTAGGATTCCCTTATAATCGGGACCCCAGTAAGGTACCCCGAATATCGGAAACCCACAATTTTTTACATGTATACACATTTCGTTGTATATAGAAACCCTAGACCCTAGACCCTAGACCCTAAACCCTAAACCCTAAACCCTAAACCCTAAACCCTAAACCCTAAACAGAAGAAAGACAATGGTTCCAGGGCTGAGGGTTTCGGGTTTTTGGCTTTAGGGCTAGACTTCACTATTCGAAAAGGGGATCATGCCCCACATTTTCGCAGAGTCCCCATGAGCCCTCAATGCCTCATACCCTAGAAGCTTAGAACCCTTTACCCGTAGAACCCTAGTCCTCAAACCAAAAACTCACATGAAGCAGGGTATATATTTCTTGTACCCCCAAAAGGACACCCGGTATATACACTCACCAGTACTAAAAAGGAACCTTATATACACTCACCAAAAACAGTAATATAAACCCTGCTTCACATGCTTTCGCGAAATGATGGTCCCTCGGTGGTCCCCCTCGACGCCTCATCCTGGATGCGGACAGCCTTCGGGATTTTGTAGACCCGGAAACTGGGCCGCCAGCAGGGCTCTCGCAAGCTTTGGGTCTTAGGCTTAGGGCCGAGGGGCATGCCTCCGGTCATAAGGCTTTAGGGTCTTATAGGTCCACCCTAAACCCTACACCCTCGGCCCTACACCCCCGTCATACATGACAGTTACAGTACTTGGGCACTTAGGCTCAATCAACCTGCCAGAATGAAACCATGTACGAGGTCTCTAGTAGTCTCTAGGCCCCCCAATCCGAGCCTTTGGAGCCGTACGGGCGAAACTCCAAACGCTAAACCGAAAACACCATGAACCTAGCGCGCCTAAGCCACAAAAAAAGCTTAACCTAAAGCCTACACCACTACCCTACGAGGGAGGGTTCTGGATTCCCTAAGGTTTTGAGACCTGAAGAGACCCCCGAAACCTTACGTAAACCCTAAACCCTAAACCCTAAACCCTAAACCCTAAACCCTAAACCCTAAACCCTAAGCCCTAAACTGCCCACACCCTAAGCTCGGGAGCTTCTACGGCCCCAAAAAGCGGCCAAAGGAAGTGACTCAGCTGTTGAGGGATTTCAGGCTCTTCCGGGGATGAAAGTGCTTTCGGGTTTTTGGGTTTAGGGCTTGTTGGTTTAGGGATTAGCTTTTCGGGTTTAGGGTTTAGGGTTTCGGGTTTAGGGTATAGGGAATATGGCACAGCAATCCGCATTCTGAGACTTTTGGGCGGTGAGGGGTTGAGAACTCCATGGTTCAAAAGTTAGCGGCTGGAGGGTATCAGTTTTTGTTCGGGGTTTACGGTTTAAGGTTTAGGGTTTAGGGTTTAATTAGGGTTTAGGGTTTGGGGCTTATAGGAAATTTAGCTGTTTTGAAAAAGTTAAGTGGGCTTCAGTGTTTCATTGTCTCAGGGGTTCTAAAGGGTTGGGGCCTTTTCGGGAGCTTTGAACGGTTTTCGGCGTTCATGCGTTTGAGGGCTTTAGAGACTTCAGGGCATTCTGCGGTGAAGAAACGGAGTACGATTTGGGGGCTTGCCCTAGAACAACCTTCAGACCCCGAGCCCCAAGCCATCAACAAGTTTCACGGCTGATACCTACACTACACCCAAGAGTACACTAGGAAAACAAAAAGGTACACTTTTTGGTCTAAAGGGGTTTGATAAGGGAACCTCAGCCGTAAGCAAAGGGAACAATATAGGGGCCTTAATAATTAGACCAGGGTTTTGGGGGTTATTATGATCTATTCAGAAAGGAACCTTAAACCCTAAACCCTAAACCACAAGGGAATACTATTAGTAATTATTCCGACCCCTATATTGAGGGTCCTAGACTCTGAGCCCCGAACTCCTGGCATCTACGGCGCCCACAAGCCAACACAAGAAGCCCCAAGCAACCTTACATCCCCTAGACCCTCAACCCTAAACCCTCAAACCTCAATCCCTAAACCCTAAACCCTAATACCTAAACCCTAAACCCTAAACCCCCAAACCCTCAAACCCTAAACCCTTAATCCCCTAAACATCCCCTTTTTATGGAGCCCCAGTTGGCGAGCAAGTCTTTTTCATGCTACATCGCTTCTTTGGGTTCCTCAAAAACCTTAAACCCTAAACCCTAAACCCTACACCCCATGCTTCTTCGCGTTACATCTCTTCTCGGGCTTCCTACAAGCCCGACACGCAGTATTTCTGGAGGGGACTATCACTACTTGAAGGATCAGGGGTGATTATGAGTAGGGCTACGGCTATAAGTACCCTAAATTCGGTTCTAACCAGCGATTACTATAGTTACCCTACATACATAACCCTATTACTATAGTTACCCTACATGAAGAACCCTCCCAGTAAAATCCTCAGCGCCCGTCCCTAGTTCATGGTTGGGATAGTACTCAAAATTGAAAATGTTCATTCCTTATTGAGTTTGAGCACCCTTAAACATGCAAACTGTGACCCCACTATGACAACAGGTCCCAAGGCCCCGGGCAAGACGATGAAGACCAGGGCGATGAGCGACTGCAAGAAGTCGAGGATGCCAAGGGCAGGCGTCACCTCAGCGTTTTCGCTCCCTTCCCATAGCCCTAAACCCTAAACCCTTAAACCCCCTAAACCCTAATCCCCAAACCCCAAACCCGAAACCCTAAATCCTAAACCCTAAACCCTCTTGGGGGGGGGGTTTTCTGTTTGATACCTGACCTGTAGCAACAGAAAGGTTGTGACCTTTCTTGCGGTACTTCTAGCCCGAAGTCTTGCAATGACCCTATGAGCCCTATGAGCCTTGCAAGGAAAGTCCAGGAAACCCTAAACCCTAAACCCTAAACCCTAAAACTGACCAGAGCATTTAGTCGACTCCAACAGCCCATGCCACCCACCCTATGGACCCAGCGCGCTGAATCCCACAAATCATACCAGGCATTAGGCTCAGCTGTGCTTCTGGAACTCCCTGAACCGCAACCTTCATCTCCAGACCTCTGAATTCACAAGGCCCGGCAGCCTAGGATCGGTCAGAAGCTGCCACAGAAATGAAGGGCTTCAACCCCAAATCCCACTGCCCTCAACCCTGGAACAGTAAACTCCGAACGCCACAACCCCCATATCCCCTACAACCCGGATGTTTCCGCTTGCACTACTGATTATATGAGGGCGCTACTAGAAGCCCTATTCAGGAGCCGTTCTAGACCCGGGAGTAACCTATAGGAATAAAAAGGGTGCCCTTTTTGGTACCCTAAAAAGGAAGAAAGGGCCTACTCCCGGTCCTAGCGTTCGTATAAGGGGGGAACATTCTATAACCTGTATAACCCCTATAACCCCTAACACCCCTAAACCCTAAAATAACCCCTCTAACCCTGCTGAGGGTTCCAGGCGTCTCGGAGCAGACCCTCGCTTCCACCAAAGACCTGCGAAGGGGGTTCGGGGTTCGGGGGGTTTAGGGTTTAGGGTTTAGGGTTTTGGGTTCAGGGTTTAGGGCGGGGCTGAAGTTCTTAAAAGTCCTTGGGACCCTGAAGCCCGGAACTGAGGGCCCTTGTTTGGGTGCCGGGTACATACAAAGCTTTTGGTGTTTCGGGTTCCTACTATTTGCTTAAGAACCCCAAAAGAATACAAGGTAATAATCCCTACACTACTCTTAATAAGGAAGAATCTATTTTACTTTCTCGGGGTTCTTAAGCAATTAGTAGGTTCAGGGTTGAAGTGTTGAAGGGCTTAGGCTGAGGCATGCCCATGGGATTGGGGAGCACAAAGACTTGGGGGTGCTTCTCTTTTGTAGAAGTCGAAGACCTAAATCCCAAATCCTAAACCCTAAACCCTGCAGAGATGTAGGTCTCACCCTAAAGCCCGACACTCCAACGTGGAATTCTCAATCGCTTTGTGCCCCAAAGCTCCGACCTTGCGATCATGCCTGTCTTGCTGCCGCAGGCAATCCTGGGAAAGCGGTTTAGGGTTTAGGGTTTAGGGTTTAGGGTTTAGGGTTTAGGGTTTAGGGTTTAGGGGCGGGGCTTGAGCCGACTTCTGGCTGTTCTAATGATGATCTTTGTTATCACTAAACTCAAGAAATATTTGTACTGCTTCTTTGATGTCTTCGCAAGAAAGCACATGTTCTGGCCATTGAAAGTATGGCTTTGAGGTTAAGGACCGTGGCTGCTGCGCGAGACGGTCACAAGCATGCACCTAGACCTGAGTGTTTTGGGTTTTCGGGTTTAGGGTTTAAGGGGTTTAGGGTTTCGGGGTTTGAGGTTTGGGGTTTAGGGTTTAGGGTGCCAAGTCCAGATGGTCACCGCAGATCCCTAAACCCTAAACACAAACCCTAAACGCTAAACCCGAAACCCTAAACTCTAACTGGGGGGTTAGCTGGTATAGCGTTCAGGTTTCAGGAAGGCCGTTCGGGTGAAGTAGGGACGTTTCGCGCTCTTTGCCGCAAGGGAAGCCGAAGCATCCCCCAACATCTAAGGGTATCAACACGGTCCCTCAGTCTGAGCGCTTAAATGGGGACCATTGGAATCCACTTATACCCTATTAAAGCCATGGGCCCGTACTTCAGAACCCTTTCAAGAAGGCAAGGGACCATATTAAGGGACCATGTATAACTTCCCCGAGAGAAGAATCCTTGAATTGCAGATTTGGCTACGAGGCCATTGGGTTTGACTCTCAACCGAAAGCTGAGATTTGATGTATCGGCCACACCACCCGAAACCGAAGGGCGACTCGTACACCCCATCTCTCCAAGCTTATGTGACCTTATGTGGTTCATTCGGCGTATAGCAATATCTGTATGAGCATGACGCTTGCACTCAGCACTCTGTATCTAATCTAGCCCTTTCGACCTTGTCCGTCTATCTGCCTGCGTATATAGCTGTCTACCCCAAACCCCCAAACCCCCAAACCCCCAAACCCCCAAACCCCCAAACCCCCAAACCCCCAAATCCCAAACCCCTAAACCCCTAAACCCCTAAACCCCCTAAACCCCTAAACCCCTAAACCCCTAAACCCCTAAACCCCTAAACCCCTAAAACCCTAAAACCCTAAAACCCTAAACCCCTAAACCCCTAAACCCCTAACCCCCTAAACCCCCTAACCCCCTAAACCCCTAAACCCCTAAACGCTCCCGGAAAGGACTTGGCCACCCGGCGGCTGCGTCAGCCCCACAGGTCCTTCGTCAATGTGCGAAGCGTGAGTAACATGAGGGCTTTAGGGTTCAGGGTTTAGGGTTTAGGTTTTAAGGTTAAGGCTTTAGGGTGTAGGGTTTGAGGACCTTTAAGTGGTATAGAAGGGACCCTGAATCTTATTCCCCTGCATGACCCTTTTATATACCATGTAGAGTCCCTATTTTGCTAAGTAGCCCCGAAAAAGCCCTAAAGAAACCCTAGGGTCCCTTACAAAGGGTCCCTCCTTTAGTCCCTGGAGACCTAAATCATGCCCCCCCCCCCCCCCCCCCTTTTTGGGGATAAGTGGCCTTAGAGCTTTGGCAAAACCCGCAGCCAAGGGCTATGCTCTGGGAGGTGGCGCGGGAGCTGCAACAGCAGAACGGTGTTGGGTTTAGGGTTTAGGGTTTAGGGTTTAGGGTTTAGGGTTTAGGGTTTAGGGTTTAGGGTTTAGGGTTTAGGGTTTAGGGTTTAGGGTTTAGGGTTTAGGGTTTAGGGTTTAGGGTTTAGGGTGAAGGGTTTATATAGGGTCTAGGGTCTAGGGTTTAGGCTTTAGGTCAAACTACCAACAACCTGGCTCCCGCAGACCCTATAAGTCTCACTTAACTGCCTTGAGCATCTGACTCAGGCTTACCCTGCAACCATAACCTCTGCTACGGGCCCATGTACCTCAATAGTATACACTTTAGGGGCTTACTTGAAAGCTCACGAGTCGTTCTAAGTGTGGGTATAAGTAGGGTAACCATAGCTCTGGGCAGAAGCTTATTTCGGGTACTTCCAACCCTACTTATAACTACCCATGAATCTTCAAGTAGGGACTTGGGCCACTATTTCGGTAACCACGCCCTTTTGGCACTACCCGTCCAGAAGGGCGCCCAGAACAGTTCTGGGCCTACTTCTTGAACCCTTGAGCCCTTAAACCCTGAACCAGGAAATTTGGCTCCCAGAGGTTGATAGCAAGACAAAGAAAGAAGAGCTAAACTAGACCCAAGAGTAACCAAGGGTACACTTGTTTGGTTTGAAGGGGTTTAGAAGGGAACCTAAGCCCTCGAAAAAGGGAACAAGGGCCTCGTTCTCTAAATTAAGTTCCCTTTGAAGGGGGGGTCCGTTTTAAAGCGGTGCGAGAAAGGGAGTCTAATCTAGAGAACTCCTCATATGGGTATTTCCCAAAACAGGGGGACCCCTTTTTACACCCCAACTAGAATCGAATCCCCCTAAGGGGACCCCCCCAAAAAGGGTCCCTTCATGGAGCTCCGTTCACGCATGGGTTTCGGGCGATCCCCTAAATCTGCAAGTTCAGTCCTCAATGCCAAGTGTTCGGCACTTCTCAGACGCCCTACACCCTAAACCCTAAACCCTAAGCCCAAAAGAGACTTCAACCGTTTTCCGCTGAGCACCGTGCCCGAGGTTTGCAGGGGTGAAAGCTGCCATGAGCCTCGGAATCAGGCGATGATTTTGCGCAGGGGTTATAGCCCCAATGATCCATGTATCTAATACCAACTTAATATCGGGGTTTCTGAAAATAGGGGTACCCTTTTGGTGGTCCTTTTAAGGGGATTCTATTCTATTTGGGGTATAAAAGGGGTACCCCTGTTTTGGGAAATGCCCATACGGGTACAGGTTTGAACATCGACCCGAAACCCCAAACCCGACATCATAAACCCTGAGCCGCAAAAAACCCTGAGCTTCCTGAGCCCTAGTCCTCAAACCTTGGTGTGGGTTGAAGAATGTGGCGGTTTCAGAAGATAAGGGACCCCTAAAATAGACCACAAATTGTAAGATTCCCTTCCCATGGGGACCCAAACAAGGTTCCCCTGCTTTCGGAAACACGCATGTTCCACGGGGCAGGCTCTACCCACAGCCTGCCCGAACTAGCCGAGCTTTCTACATCTTCAGCACTGGGCGGCCGGCTTGTAGAAAAAATTCTGCTCCTTCGTCTCTGGGAAGTCTTCAAGCATTGATCCTGTCTCACGCAGCCGGTTTCCAGGCGCCCAAAAGCCTAAACCCTAAAGCCCAAACCCCCAAAACCGTGCTCTTGGGCTCAAGTTCCTGAGAACAGACAGCAGTTCCGTGAAGCTGTGGCATACCGCAGCGAGAATGTGACAGATTAGGGCTGATGGGGAGGAGAGGGGTTACAGTGATCATGAAACTCTAAACCCCAACTCTGCCCAGGGATCGCGTTGGAGCTCAAGATTTTAGTATTAAGGTACATACACCCTTCGGGCAAAATATGGCGGGGGGGGGGGGGGGGTCTGTTCTAAACTATGGTCCCTTTGGGGCCTTACAGTAAAAGCTTCGTCTTCAGGATTTGGGGTTTAGGGTCCACAAAGAAACCAAGATATGGAAACCTGCCCTTATGCACCCAAGCTCGTACTCAGCCGCTGGCCGCCAAGGGAAAAGTACCTCAGAGGTTGCGTTCTCGGGCCCTGTCAGGCGACAACCCCTAGACACGAATAAATAAACTCAAGCAATTCAGGGTTTAGGGTTGAGGGTTGCAGAAAGTCACGCATTTGGTGTTCAGGGCCTCAGAAGAATCCACAAACCCACGTGACAAAGCTCAGCCGCAAAACCCCCACGCAGCTGAAACCCTAAACTCAAAACTCTAAACCCTAAACCCCAACACAGCTGAAACCCGGGACTCGGACGCTGGTCCGCACAAGCCCTAGGCCTAAATATACAAGCTATGTAAAGACATGGGTTTTCTCAGCGTGTTTAGGGAACCCTATGCCCGAAACCTTGAACCCTGTCGGTGCTGTGCGAGCTCAAAAATCATGCTTCAGAGAATTGCGGCTAACGTTCAGTTTTTTTGGCTTCACTTGGAGGTACGGGGTTTGTGCTTATGAAGGGTCCATGCTTATTCGGGTGTAGCAAACTCCGGTGCTTATAAGCACATGAACGGGGCATCTGGCACAGTAACCAGAGTCGCATTTTGACCCTTTGACCCTGAGTTGCATGGGAAGCACAGCTGCTCAAATACAGGCAAACAAGGGAGGGTTAAAAGGCTCAGGTACAGGGCGCAGCCCTTAGCCACCCTCACCAAATGAAGAATTTTCTTGGAGCAGACATGAAATTACTGTCGGTGGCATCGCCCATGACATTCGATAGCAGCGCGTGCCCTTCCAGGCGCATTTCAACAAGCAATGCAGTCTCGGAAAGACGCTGCTGAAATTCTAGGCCCGACTTGGCAAATCGGCTTCTTACCGGCGATGCTGCGACTGCCTCAAAAAAGTTGTGCCCTATACACCAGTGAGGTTCAAGTTTTGTGCCTGGCAGAAGGAATGCACTATGGTGTGCAAGTTGCATGTGCGTTTGCTAGGTTTAGATATATATATATATAAGAACCTGCCATCATCGTGCCGAATTGATGGTATGCTTTGAGATCTACTAGCTTCACAATCCGCTCCCCAATCCAACTGGGTCCAGGCGCATCATTGGGATCGTGAAGAGGAAAAGGAACATGAAGAGCAGACCCAGATCTGACGCAATCACTCAGTGTTTGAGGACTAGGGTCGAGAGCAGTACTCAACTCCAACACCCTATACTACAAATGAAACCATTAAGCCCGAAACCATAAAACCTGCAAGACCAGACAGCGCCCATAGTGTGAAACTGCGAGCAGTGAGGTAGGGCTGGGATCTTTGCAGTAAACTCCAAAAAAGTTGAAACATCTATCCCCATACCCCAAAAAGGTATACTAAAGGGAATCCCAGCTCTAACCATCCTTAAACCATGTTCCAACTTTCTGGAGTGGAGTTTAATGTTGGACCTGGTTTTGTGGGGGCCTCCTGTAGAAAGTCAATTTGGCTGGGTCATTCAGGACACCCTGACTGGTTGGGGGTGCATGGCGGGATCCTGAAGGTTGGGGGTTGGTGGGGGGGGGGGGAGGCGGGTATAGGCAAGGGTGTTCTGAGTCATTGGCAGTAGCGCTTGAAGCCTGGGATCACGCGACAAGCCTAGCCCTAAACCCCATGACTCACCACTCTCTAGCTTAGTATGAGTTCGGGGCGGTCTAACCCATAAAGCTCCCCAAGCCTTAAGCCCTGAACTCCCTGAGCCCTCTATCGGCCACTGGAGCCCAGGGCTCTATGGGCCCCAGCTCGGGGTTTCAGAGTAAAAGAAGCTGGGCCCTTTCACCTATCTAGTCGGGTATATATTCCTTGTATCCCCAAAGGGCACCCAGTATACACATGCACCTATAACAGCAATATAAACGCAATATCATACAGGTTCAGGATGGATCTCAGGGTGTGACGGGGCGCCCTGGACACGCCAGGCCCCGAACCCAACAACACTGAATCCTGACAGACTCCACCTCCCCCCTCCCCCCCCCCCCCCCCCCCCCCCCACCGATCAAGAACTGGAAATAGAGCTGCACTCCGACGCCATATTGGCCTCCCAGCAGGCAGCTTTAGGACTCAGAGTTCAGCTTGGGGCTCCAGTTTACCTGCTCCCGAACTTGGGTGTTCCTGGGTACTTAGAATTGGGGTACTACAGTGGGAGAACTAGGGTTATAACTCTCATGAGGGTACATATAACCTGAGGGCTCGGGTACCTCTGGAATCTCGAGGTCCCGGAGAGCCTTTGGGGTATTTCGAGGGTTGCCCTTTGACCCTGCAATCCGGGCTATAACCCGTGAGGAGGGTTTCGGACCTTTCGGAATTTTAGGGCCCAAGCCCCCAGAGCCTATAGCCGCTTTGAGTTGCCCCTGGAGGGTGTCGCCCGGGTATCCCTACAAGCCCTATAAAACCCTATCATCACAAACTCCATATGCCCTAGAGGAGCCTTGAAACCGTGGGAACAAAATACACTGAGCTTTTCGGTTCAGGGCTGGGTTTGCTCCCTGAGCCTCAGCCCTAATAATTACCCTAATGTAGGGGCCTTGATCATGAGAAAGGTTTTTTTTTTTTTTTTGAGGGGGGGGGGGGTATTCTAGCATAATTACATAGGGACCAAAGCGAATACCGTTAGTACTTATTCCGACCACTATATAACAAAAGTCCCCTAAGGCGAACAAACAACCTCCCCTGAAACCTGCTTGCAAGTTCTTAAAGAGGCTTAGGGTTTAGGGTTTAGGGTTTCGGGTTTAGGGTTTGGCTCACCCGGGGGGAGGGAGACACATTGCCGAGGGCCAAAGGCCTAGCTCCTTCACCGGAGTCTTCAGCGGCTTCCACTGGCACTGGTCATCCCTCGGTGCATGGGGGCTGCTGCATTTTTGGGTTCCCTGGTTGGGCGGCCATTTCTATCTTGGTATCTCAGTAACCACATCATAGTAAGGGCACCCCTTTGTTGGGTTGACTACTTTGATCAGGGAACCTAGAACCCCAAAAAATGGTAAAGAGTACCACTCGGCCACCAAGCTATAAGGGCTCCGGGATCCAACTATCACGGTGCAGGGTTTAGGGTTTGCCCCTTGATCCAAAAATACCATGCAGAGCGCCGTATATACTCTAGACCCGGGAGTAACCTAGGAATAAAAGGGTACCCTTTTTTTGGTTTAAGGGGATTATAGGGGAACCCCCCAACCTAAACAAAGGACGAAAGCGCCAACCCCCGGTCCTAGTACCGGGCCCGCTTGGACACATGCATGCAGCCAGAATCCGAAGCCCCAAACGGCTGTGATGTGTGCACAGAGAAGTTCACCAAAATTGCAGTCCCGTTTCGGGTACCCCAAGAAGAAGGTGCCGTAAACTGTAACCGCAAACAAAAGCGCGCAAGGAGACAACCCCAAACTGCTCGTTACAATTAAACAGGCCCCTGTATTGCACCTCTTATGTTCGAAGAGCCCCAAAAAACCAACATGGGGGTTTACGAAAATAAGGGGCCCTTCATATAGACCCTCAAATAGTAGGATTCCCTTACCCCAATAAGGGGATTCCTTTACCCCAATAAGGTACCCCTAATTTCGGAAACCCCACATGGTATGCCGGTATGCCCTTAGAACTTGACAGGTTCTACGAAGATTGGCCCATGGACCCGCACAGAATGACTTGGAGAGCCCCTGTGGTGCAGCTAGTGCCGGCAAGCTTCGTACAGGCAGTTTGCATCATGAAGTCCTGTCGAGGGTTTAGGTTGCCGGGGGCTGTAGGGTACAGGGTACAGGGTTTAGGGTTTAGGGTTTAGGGTGTGTAGGATGTAGGATGTAGGCTTGGGGCAGTAGAGATGGCAGACTGCTCAGGAGTCACCCCTTCGGGAGCGGATGACTTGCAGATGGCCCGAAGGAACTCGAAGATACTTAGTTGTTCGGTACCTAGAGCCGTAAACCCTACACCCTAAATCCCTAGAACCCTAAAACCCTGAAATGAAACCCGAAGTCGTCAACCCTACACCCTAAATCCCTTAATCCCTAAAACCCTAAAACCCTAAAACCCTAAGACCTGAAACCCTGAAACCCTAAAGCCTAACACCCTAAAACTCTAAGACCTGAAACCCTGAAACCCGAAAGCCTCGCACCCTAACGCCCAAGCACAGAACTCCAGGTGGCCTTGGCAACCTTCAGCTTCTCGGGTCTCTCCTCGTGGTCGGTGATTTCGGGCTTAGGGCTGCAGCACTTTCTCTTTTTTGTTGTTGTTTTTTTTTTTTGTGTGTGTGTGTGTGTGTGTGTGTTTAGGGTTTAAGGTCTTAAGGTTTCGGCTTTGGTTAAGGGCTTATAAGGCCTCAAGTCTCTTGCGTTTCGTTTGCAAGGTCTGCGGCTGGAGCCTGCGGTGTGAGGGCCTTGCCTTGGGAAACCCGACGAGCCCTAAACCCTAAACCCTAAACCCTAAACCCTAAACCCCAAAACGTGCTCAGGGGGAAGCCCAAGGATGCCGGCCAGGATGCCCCGAACCCGAAAAAATTCACTCAACCCCAGCTGCCTTTGGACCTTCTGGAGAACGATCTGCCCTGGGGGGTCTTGGGTGCAAAAAAAGGCTCTGCAGTCTTAGGGGTTCGGGTTTAGGGACTTCTTGCTCGAAATGCCGGTCGCTGCCCGGACGGGGGGTCAGTAAGGTGGCCCCTAAACCCTAAACCCTAAACCCTAAACCCTAAACCCTAAACCCTGAACCCTAAACCCTAAACCCTAAACCCTAAACCCTAAACCCTAAACATTCCTCGCGAAGCCTCCGGGATGAGGCTGCTGGGGCCTTCGGGCCCTCAAATAGCCCCAGGGATGGACAAACCAAGCGTTGATGATCGTAGACAAGAAGCCCTGCTTGAAGGTTCATCGGTAGTTACAGGTAGGGTTATATATGCATATATATATATATATATTAATATCTATATATATATATATATGTGTACCCGAAATCAGGCTTTAACCAGCTATAATTTTCGCTAGCCTGCTTCTGGCCCCACCTACGTGTACCCTTGAGCCTTCAAGTAAACCCTCCCTCTGAAGCCCGTCCCGCAAATCCCACTGTGGAGTAGACCCTGGAATTACTTTTTAGGTAGAAGTGGCTATAATGGGAATCCAGGACCAAAAAAAGTATCAAAGTACCCCTAACCCCTAACCCCTAAACCCTAAACATATCGTACTCCAAAGCCCCCGCAAGTCCTTGATCTCGTCTTCTGTCTCCTGTGGCACTGCGTCCTGGCGAGTCCAGACCCACTGGCGCTGAAACCCTTGGTACCCCAGAAACCACCCCTAAACCCTAAACCCTCTTTTGGGGTTGGTATTACCTTTTGAAGGGAACCTAGAACCCCCCCAAAAAAGGGTGAGAAGTACCGCTGGGCTACCAAGAAACTCCAAACCCTAGACCCTAAACCCTACACCATAGTCAGACCCTAAGCCTAAACCCTAAGAAAGCTGAATACGTAGCCTCCCAAAACGATCAACCGACACGTCACCAGCGGCATAATGGTAGTTATCTAAATTAGGGTCTTGTTTCGGGCCCGAACTGTCCGCGTGCCGTACTATTTTGTGGGGCCCACAAAGGGTCCCTAATTTAGAGACCCACTGTGGGATGCTCCCCCTTCTGCTAACAGTCCTTAATAGGGATTCTAATAGGGAGTACTAGAATCCCCATTAAGGAGCTGTTAGTAGAAGTTGGAACTTCCCACACATATAAAGCATCTCGGAGGATCCGCAGATTAGCAGGCTCGCGACCCTCCCATGTTGAAGAAAAAGGTCCCAGCCTATTAAGGCCCCAAGTCTTTTACGCATAAGCCCTAAACCTTAACCCTAAATAAACCCTAAAACCCCTAAACCCCAAGCTCCCTAAACCTAAACCCCAGCTCATGGAGGATTTGCATGGATAGGCCGACCATCGTAAACGGTACATGTGCACAGGAATGGGTGGTTTAGGGTTTGAGGGTTTAGGGTTTAGGGCACTTGAACTCCCCGTGTTTCTAAGGGATATCCCAAGCTCCATCAACACTGTTCTGGGCAGCGGTGTCTATTATTGAAGCGTAAGAGGGTTTCGAGATACTAAAGGCTGAGCTCGTAAACCTGTGACAAAACTGCACGGCACTTTGAACAACCCAAGGTCAATTCTGCAAAGTTGGCTCCTTATATTCCTATACAACGTGTTATGTTCAGGGCACGCACCAAAAAACGGTACCACGATCCAGATATCTGACCGCACACACTCACGATGACAAAGCCCTAGGCTGGGTCACGCAAGGCCAGCAGTCTGTTAAGGCTACATGAAGTACGGCTTATATTTCTTGTATCCCCCATAGGACACCAGTTATATACACTCACCACCATTAACAAATGAACCCTAAACACACTCACCAGTACCAGCAAAAAAAAAAATATATATATATACATATACATATCGGTATATATATATACACATAATATGATATAGGTATATATATATATATATACACATAATATGAACCCTGTTTAGGACAGTGCAACCTGGGGCCGCGTGGGCACGCCAGGGCACCTCTGGCCCATGTTGTGCTTGCTTCTTCTTCGAGCGACGCCCTCTAAATTCTCAAGCCCCTTTAGGGTTTAGGGTTTAGAGTTTAGAGTTTAGGGTTTTAGGGTTTTAGGGTTTTAGGGTTTTAGGGTTTTAGGGTTTTAGGGTTTTAGGGTTTTAGGGTTTTAGGGTTTTAGGGTTTTAGGGTTTTAGGGTTTTAGGGCTTTCAAAATCCCTAAAACCTGAACCCGGCCCTAAACCCTAAAGCCTGAACCCCTTCGACCGGGTGCAGAGACAAGTTTTCCGCACAGTGCAGGCTACCAGCGTCCGGGCGTAGGGCGTAGGCTTTCAGCTTAGCGGTGCGACTTACTACAACGACCCAAAATGTCCATGTACCAATATAGTATATACTTGGGCCATAAAGGGGTTCCTATACAGTAGCTTTACGGCCCAAATATGTACTATATGGGTACATGGACCCTTATGGAGAGGAGGGCGGCTTGGCCAGATGTGGAGGAGACGACCTCTACTATTTGCTTAAGAACCCCCTTCAAAAAAATGAAAATCCCCGTATGGTCCTTAAAGTGCTGAATATGTTTAATTTTTGGGAGTTCTTAAACAATTAGTAGACCTGGAGACTTCCAATTCGAGCTTCCTTGCAGCTGTGCGCACACCTCAGTTCCCCAAAGGCTCGGCCTGAATACAAACCTCAGACCTCGAGATGCCTCAGACCCCGAGCCTCCTTCCCTCTCCTTCCCTCCGGGAGCCTGCAGGAACGCTTCTCGAAGGTGCTTCTTCACTTGCTGACTTCGAGCCTGGCTCGGGTTTAGGGTTTAGGGTTTAGGGTTTAGGGTTTTAGGGTTTAGGGTTTAGGGTTTAGGGTTTAGGGTTCAGGGTTTAGGGTGTAGGGTTTAGGGTTTAGGGTTTAGGGTTTTGTGTTCCTGGCAACCCTAGGGATTTCTGGATGATGGAGACCAGGAGTCAATTCGAATAGCATAACCACAACGCAAGATCTGGTGGATGGGCTATCCCTGAACAGCTGCTAAGCTGAAGGGAACGAGTCCCAAGCCCCCTTGAAGCCCTTATCCCTCCTTTGCTTAATTTAATGCGATCTACACTCACGAAGCCTATGCACTAATGCCTCCCCTCCCAACAAAACAAAACTTCCAAAGCTCTCCCGGCAGATTTCGGGTGTTCCAGACAGACCCGGGGATAGGGTTTAGGGTTTAGGGTTTAGGCTTTAGGCTTTAGGGTTTAGGGTTTAGGGTTAGCTCGGGGCTTAGGGTTCCTGAAGAATGTATGGCAAAACGGAACCAAGAACTTGTAGCTGGCCTGAGCTTATTCAAGCCACTCGACTAGCCTTAGTCCTAAACCCCAAAATGCCAAAGACGAGGCCCACGCCTTCAGTGAGTTGGAGGAATCTCTATTTCCAGTGACCTTGGTGCCAGCTCGAAGTGACGAGCCCTTCAGAATTCAGGCGGTTTAGGGCTTAAGGATGTTTAGGTATCCAGGCCTAGGTGACCTAGGTGGATGGAGAAACGCGTCAAGCGGGCCAACTGCTCTGAAAGCCAAACTCAACAAGCGAAACCGCAAGGGATTAGGAATCGTTGGTGTAGCGTCAAGGATTCGGCCGATCGATCACTAACTGCTCAATCTTAGAATGTTTCAGAGTCGACACGACGAGTTCCTTGTGGTAGACTTAGTAGATAGATCCAGGCAGGGTTACGGACGACTATGGTCTTGGCGCCTGATGTGCATCGCCAGTTTTGGACCTGCCTTACCATCCGCTGGAAACAATCTCGGGGGCTTTAGTCCTCTAGCCTCTAGCTGTGGCTTTAGTCGCACTCCCCTCCTCCCCTCCCCTGCCTACTAAGACCTTAAGCCCCCAGACCCTAAACCCTAAACCCTATACCCTAAACCCTAAACCCTACACCCCTAAACCCCCTAAACCCCCCAAACCCCCCAAACCCCCCAAAACCCCCCAAAACCCCCCAAAACCCCCTAAACCCCCTAAACCCCCTAAACCCCCTAAACCCCCTAAACCCCCGGCTAAACCCCCGGCTAAACCCCCGGCTAAACCCCCGGCTAAACCCCCGGCTAAACTCCCGGCTAAACCCCCGGCTAAACCCCCGGCTAAACCCCCGGCTAAACCCCTGGCTAAACCCCCGGCTAAACCCCCGGCTAAACCCCCGGCTAAACCCCCGGCTAAACCCCCGGCTAAACCCCCTAAACCCCCTAAACCCCCGGCTAAACCCGGCTAAACCCCCTAAACCCCCTAAACCCTAAACTCATTGCTTCTGAGAGGCTCCGGAGGAGCCAGTCCCTTGTATCTGTGGCTTCGAGGTCTCCTGAGGTCGTTTGCGGGTTCGGGGCTTGAGGGCTTTGGCTTTTCCAGGGTTCGGGTTCTTAGGGTTTTTTTAGGGGCTTTAGGGTTCTTTTAGGGGTGTTAGTATGTTTAGAAGTGTTAGGGATTTTAGGGGTGTTCTGGTTTTTAGGGTTTCGGGTTTAGGGTTAAGGGTCAGGTTTCGGGTTTAGGGTTAAGGGTCAGGCGTCTCGGATTTTACTGACATGCCTGCAGCCTGAGGAAACAGACAACAAACGAGACCCAGGGCCCCCCGGAATACCGATCAGCCGCAATGAAACCGCGTCTGAAGCAATCGGTCGGCTGGGTTTTCGGGCTTAGGGTTTGGTATTTTATGCCAGGACCTAGATTCTGAGAGTGCGCGACTTAGGGACTATATAGGGTCTAAGCCGTCAGCCTTAGTAGTTAGAAGAGGGTTTTGGGGGTTGTTGTAGAAAACATACATGGGGACCGTAAAAGGGATACTATTAGAAGGTATTCCGACTTGAGGCCAGGGACGACTCACTGAGCCTTCCTCAATCGGAAGCTCTCTGAAAGCCCTCTACTGTGGGTTTCAACTCTTTGGGCCTGCAGAGCATTGAAAACTGGACCCAAGAGTAACCTAAAACCGAAACCCTAAACCCTTTTTGGGTTAAGGGGACCTAAACACTAAAAGGGAATATGGCCCGGTTCTGGTCCTAGAAAATCAACAGCACACCAGGAAGCCTTCACCCCTCAGAACCTAAAGCCCTAGAGGCTTCAACCCTATACACACTAAGACCTGAAACCGAAGAAACCCTAAACCAAAAAAAGGGCTATGGGTAGCTTGGAATCAAATGGTCGACCTTGCTTAAGGGAAACTTAGTTGTCCAGTAACCTGAGGGAAATAAAGGTTAACCTTTGGGATTATAAGGGGATTATACTACCCCAAAAAAGGTTGAAGGTTACCTACTCTACTACTAAGGAAACCTACCCAGCAACTCAAGACCCGAGCGTCGGATTGGAATCTGACCTCTGCCTGGCAGTGCAGTCCCCGACTTCAAATGAACCGCAAATGGGCCCCAAACTCCAGAATATCAGAGTGCTTTGAGTCTTGTGGGTAAGGGAGGGTTGAGGATACAGAGTGTACCGGCATCGGGAGATAGGTACAAGTAGGCGTATTCATCGCCACGAGGAGCCATGCACTTCCTGGCAGTCTTTGGATTAGGGTTTAGGGTTTAGGGTTTAGGGTAAACCCCATAAGCTCTGCACACCCTCCAAGCCCTGCAAAGCCGAAGGGCGCCTCCTTTGTATAGACAAGAGCTAGAAGCCCTATAAACCCTGTAGACTAGAAGCACGATACACCCCGTAATTACACCCTAAGCTTGACATAAACCGACCAGACCAGCAGTGGAACCACGAAAGCGCAAGCTGACATGCGAGGCCCCTACGCTTGAGGTTCTGTAGGATTGAGGGATTGAGGGGCTTAGGGCTCTAAAACCCTAAGCAACCCAAACAACCCTAAAACCCCTAAAAACGCTAAAAGCCCTAAAACCCCTAAAAACCCCTAAACCCTAAACCCTTAAACCCTAAACCCTAAACCCTAAACCCCAAAGGGTTTTAGGGTTCTAAGGTTCTAGGGCTTTGGGCGTAGGATGGAGGTGCTGGAGCCCGGAAGCTCGCATCCCGTGCCTTCTTGGGCGTAGTGGGGGTGTCCTCGAAGTGAACTCGGGGTATTCTGATATTTAGTAGTATAAGGGTTTAGGGTTTAGGGTTTAGGGTTTAGGATTGAGGGTTTAGGGTTTCGGGTTAAGGGTTTATACTTTTGAATATAACATCTAGAAAAGAAGGTCTAGAAGATGTGATACTATGTAAAGTGGCACACGAGAGATGCCTCTGTTCTAAACTTTTGGTCAGCAGCTGTGGGCACCTGGGGGTTGTTGGGACCCTGTCATAGTATAGAGCTTGGTATGCCGGGTACCTTAGAACAACCCCGGGAAACCCCAAGTTCAAACAGCCCCAAGAAGCCGGCGGAAAAGTACTGGAGACTCCACTAGGGCCCCCTTCTGGGTTTACGCACGCTGAACCCTGTGTGAGGAACGCCGCAAGATGATTCTAGAGCACTGTAGAAATCCCAGAAATATTGAACATACCCCGTGGGCATACCCTTCGAAGAAACTAAGGGGCGCGGAAGAATCTTTCCTGAATTTCTCCGTTTATAGGTAAAGGGGTGTGCGGTATGGGCTTGGGGTATGTTGAATTCTTCACAAAAGAAAGCGCCAAGCAGCGAGAATCGAGTTGCATAGCTTTACCACACCCGGAAAGAGGCCCCACATCACCGAAGCAAGCTGACGCTTCAAACATAACTCGAGAAGGCCTCCAAAGCTACATTGCGGTTTAGGGTTTAGGGTTTAGGGTTTAGGGTTTAGGGTTTAGGGTTTAGGGCTTAGGGCTTAGGGCTTAGGGTTTAGATTGCGGCCCTTTGGAACCTAAACCCCTCAAACCGTAAATGAAAGTAGGAGACCCCTAATAAGACCTCCAAACAGTAGGATTCCCTTGTAAAAAGGGCCAATAAGGTACCCCTGAAATTCGGAAACCCCCATATATCTTTTTTGAAGGACATCTCAGCAGGGGCTGTCCTCCACGGTAACTCTCACGTATCCATCCTCAGCATGCATCAGAACAAACGACCTCGCCTCCAAAAGACCCCTGTCGGTGTTGAGGCTTTCGCTTTAACATGCTTGAATAGGATGCATTTAGAGACTCAAGGGTTCTTGGCCCAGGGGGTTGAGAAAAAAACACACACAGCTTGAACAAGCCGGAGTCATATTAGTTTCAGGCTTGATCCCTGATGGTCCACCATTCTTGGGGGGGGGGGAGGGGTTTTGGCGGGGGGGGCGGGTTCTTGGGGGGGCTCCCGATTCCCTGGGCTGAGTCGGGTTGTGGGTGTTTCGTGTTTAGGGTTAGGGTTTAGGGCTCAGGGCTCAGGGCTCAGGGCTCAGGGTTCAGAGTTCAGGGTTCAGGGTTTAGGGTTTGGGGTTGCGTGCCTTGCCTCCTCTTCGGCCATGGCTGCCAAACAGGTTCACCCCACGTCCTGTGAGAAAAGGCAGGTTGTGAGGCCGCGGGAGGCCCTTAGGGTTTGGGGTTTGAGGTTTAGGGTGTAGGGTCCAGGGTTTAGGGTTTTAAGCCCTTTTGCATGCCGTGCGCTCATTCAAACAGGAGATGGCGCCCTAGGTTGGGGCATAGGTTCGCATAAGGTTGAGACTAGCCGTGAACGCATTACTTATTCGTTAGCTTTAACGGGTATAGGCATAGGGCTGAACAAAGTACGCCTTTACAGTTAATCTCATCCTTAAGCTCATACGCATTCTTTCTGCACCGGCAGGCGCGCACCCAAATACACAACCCTGAACGAATCTACTCATGCCAACAGAAGCGAACACACATAAGCCTAAACCCAACATCTGGTGCAAGGTCTAAGGGTTTAGGAGCCCAGAGGTCTGCGGTTCAGAGTACTTTCCCAACACCCAACCCAAGATAAACAATCCACCCCCCCCCCCCTCCCATCCCCCGCAAAAGGATTAACCCCAAACCCTAAACCCTAAGCCTGCTACCCGAAGGCTCATGGGCAGTTACCTCAAGCAGGGTTAAAGATGCAGTCCCCTTGCTTCTAGAACTGCAACCCTTCCTATTTAAGCACCCTAGAATCCTTCAAGTCATGTCTGAACCCTGCACCGGACAAGATTCGCGCACACATCCACCGGAGAGCTTGCTCTAAACGAAGGCACTCTTTTTGGAGGAGATTGTTTTGGGCAGGCTCCTCTTCGAAAAGGGTTCTACCCCAAGGCTCCCAAGATCCTACAACAGGGACTCGTACCACCTAGGGGGAGAGTTGTGGGTGTCATTTTTTCAGGGATTCTTCGGGCCCGAGGGGGCCGTAGAATAGAAGGCCCTAAGCCCTAAACCCCCAGCTCCAAACCCTGCGAACGAACCCTGATTTAGGTTGTCGGGCTTTGGATTTACAGGGTCAAGGCCCGAAATCCCAACCTGAACAGCTTAACTTTCAACCTCAAGCCCTGCACCTGAAAGCCCTGCACCCCCCAACAACCCTAACCGCCCCTAAACCCCCCTTAAACCCCCCTAAACCCCTAAACCCCCCTAAACCCCCCTAAACCCCCCATAGAACCCCGCCTGAGAGGCTGGTTCAGGTGGCGGTACTCTCGCGCACGGGCGCTGCACCTGAACAGAAAGAGATGTCATAGTTAGGGCATCCAGGGCTTCTCGGATTACAGTTTAAAAGTTGCTCGGGCTCCACATCCGAAGTAGAGTTTCAAGGCGGCTTCGGGTCTGGGGTTAGGGCTTAGGGCTCGAAGGGTTCGGGGTTAGAGTCTGGGGAGTCTCGGGCTTCGCACTCAGGTTGAGGGTTTAGGGTTTAGGGTTTAGGGGTACATCCCTTCATATGGACCCGTAAATATGGACCCTCTTATATGCCCCTCTAAAACCCAAGGGCCCATATTTCACAAGCCTGTAAAGAAGGTAAGGGACCATAATTGGGGGGCCCATGAAACTACCCTTAGACTCATTAGCATGAGACCACCCCTTAGTTGTCCAGTAACCCAGGGGATCTAAAGCTTAACCTTTGGGAATTTACTGGGATCATTCTACCCCAAAAAGGTTCCAACCTTAAACCCTAAACCCTAAGCCCGAAGCCCTAAACCCTAAACTCTAAACCCCAAAAAGGTTATCTACTCTACTACTAAGACCCATGGCAACAACAGAGCTTCAGCAGAAACAGAAGCTCCAGTTAGGGTTCTAGGGCTTCTGGCGAGGAAGCCACAATCTCGAAAGCCTCTAAACTGAAACCCTAAACTCTAAACCCTAAACCCTAAACCCTAAACCCTAAACCCTAAACCCTTCTAAAACTTAGCGCCCCTTCGGGTTCACTGGGCCGCAGGCAGCGGGTATTTGGCTTGGAGTCCCTCTCACCGGCTAGATTTGAGAGCTTCGCGCGGCGTCCACGCATGTGCGTGGGCAACACAAGACGCTAAATCCACCCTACAAACACGAATTGCCTGGGACCCTAAATTTACCTACAGTTTTACAGGGCTTATACCTACTAAATGGAGGGGGGGTTACTTACTAGTAATGTGTAGGGAAATAGGGTCCCAATTCAACCCTAAATCAGGGTTTACGAAAAATGAGGAGATCCCTAAAATAATATCTCAATAAAATAAGTACCCCAATAAGGCACCCCCTAACCTATGTAAGGTACCGCCTAATGTCGTAAACCACCATGTAATGCTGACCCCCTAATATCGTAAACCCTACACCCCAAACCCTAAACCATAAATCCTAAACCCAAATAGCTTGGGCTAGCTTCGTTTCGGGGCCAGGCTTGGGGCAATGCTTGGAGGTTCATGGTACGTATTCAATCATAACTGTACCTATAACCCACTTATAAGCCCCTCAAGTGCCCTCATACGGTTAAAAGTACGGTTATAAGTACCAGTTACAATTGGTTAATAAGTAAGCACCATGAACCTCCAAGTGGTCGTGTTATCGAAGGGGGGTCTCAAGAACTTCTGCTCAGTCAGTGGGCAAAGGCTTCGTTTTGGGGTGTCAGGTTCAGGGTTTGGGACCCCCAAAAGGGTTTAGGGTTTAGGGTTTAGGGTTCTGGGTTGAGGGTTCAGGGTTTGGGAGCAGTCAAGGGGCCTTTGAGCATGTCGTCGTGTCCACATGATTTCACAATGCACTGACGTACAAGGGAAACAACACATTCGCATGTACCTCTTTGTGCTGTAGAAGCCTCTTGTTTTAACCCTGATGGTCCATGTACCTGTATAGTATACACTTGGGGCCTAAAGCTACGACATGGGACCCGCTTTTGGGCTCAAGTATATGCTATATAGGTACATGGACCCGTAGGGTAAGTTCCTTGGGCATGGCGTGGATCAATCGAGTACTGCAAGACGGCGCCTGTGTGTATCTGTTGCATGAAGCCTCCAACCCAAAAGCCCAATGGAGGTTGTTGCAAGCCAGGTCTCTGTAGTGAGTCCCTGCAAATGGTTCGAAGTGTTCTTGAGAGGGTACCTGTAACGAGACACTTGCTCACAGAGGGTGGGTCTGGACATTAAAACCTATTTGTCTGCACGGCCGCACTGACTCCTACCGCTCCAAGTGGCACGTCAAAGCCTCCATGCATTCACGGCTGGTCGGCTCGAAGGTGCTGAATTGGTGCAGATCACTTCCACGTGTGGGCTAGGGAAGGACTTGCCCCGACAAGCAAAACTTAAGCATCCAGGCTGCGCAGCATTGCGCAGCCTGAACATCACTCTCCAGCCGTTCAAGCCCTAAGCCTCTGAAAAGCCACGAAAAGCAGCCGAACGACAAGAGCCTTCCACTAAAGGGCCGCGCAGGGTATAGGAAACAAGGCTAAAACCTGGCTGCTCCGGGTTGCTCCGAAGGGTCCAGATTCCCAGCAGTTGTAGCAGTTGCGAATTAGAGAGCGAAGGTTTAGGGTTTAGAGTTTAGGGTTTAGGGTTAGGGTTTAGGGTTTAGGGCTAGAAGCCTCATGCCACCCAGGCTTGGGCAGCTGGACCCTGGCATTCTAAATGGAGCATCTCCTGTCCAGTTGGGAGCTCTGGAACTTCTGCGGCACGCAAAGGCGCTCTATGTACACTGTACACGCAAGAGTTAACCAGATTGCCCCGAGTTTTAGGGCAACGGGCTTTGGGGGAGTAGAAGGGTTGCCTGCGCTGTCCTGCATCTGGCCAAGGCCCAACCCCCTTGTACTGTCAGGGTTGTTGGAGCTGAGGCAACATCTTGAAGCAACCCTCCTGCACTCTCCCCAGAAATAGCGCGCAACGCGCGGTGCACCTCACCACACACACCAGTCGCCAGCAGAAATTCCGAAATCGTGATGATCCCAGAAGAAAACCCAAAGAGAACCTGCTGGATGTAGCTAAGTAGCTAAACTACCTGTTCTGCTCCGGAACACCACATTTCCAAGCCCCTTAACCCTAAGGCTACAGGAATCTTACTGTCGGGTTAAGCACACTCTATAAGGTTCGTGGGTTGTGTGGAAACAGTCAGGATGCAAACCCTAAAGCCTAAACCCTGAGCCCTTGACTCACCCCGTCATTGATAGGAGGCGCCGGGGCCTGGCTTGATGGGAGGCTTTGGATGTCGCTTTGAGGGCATCTGAGGGTATGGAGGGTCCCGGGTATGGGGTTTGGGGTTTCGAGTCTAGGGTCTAGGTTTTGAGGGCAATTTTGGGCCTAAGGGTTCGGGTATAGGGTGTGGAGTCTGGGGTACCTGAAGGTTCGGGATTCAGGCTCAGAAGCAGAGCAAACGGACATGTTTCTTGTGTGAACTCCCAACAAGTATTGAGTCGGCGTGCTGCACTAACTAAGCACCTGCATTCGCCAAACCAAGCGAAACACACGCTAACTTCGTCGCCAAGTAACCTAGGATCAGAAAGGGTGCCCTTTTGTTCCTAAAGGGGTTGATAAGGGAACCCAAACCCCCAGAAAAGGGAACAAGGGTACTACTGGGCATCCTAGCTAAGATGTTGGGCAGATGCACCCTTCCTAGGAACAGGCTTGCTGTTGGTGGCACTGAGCTTAATGCATGCCTTGCCTTCACGCTTCTTCGCGGCATCCTGTGCAGAGAGGGGAAGATTCACAGTAGCCACGAAGCCATAGAAACGAGAAGAACCCTGTCGGTGCTGGCTTGGATGATGAAAGAACTTTCGCGGTTTTGCAAAATGATGGTCTGGTTTGGGGCACGCATAAGCCGTAAACCCGAACCCTAATTGCTGGTGCGCTATGGGTGCCCGCCACTTTGCCGGTTCATCAGTGGCATGTGTGGCTAAAACATCGCCAAGGCCAAGAGGTTCACTGCTGTTCAGCTAGACTCGAAATAGAAAGCACGGCATTTGCAAGCTTTGCGTGCTGTTTCTCCGAAGCCAACCTTTAAAGCTGTGAACCGCAAACGCTCAGCTGCCTCCAGCTGCTTGAGGCCTGAACTCAGAGCTTGGCATCCAGGGGTTCAGGTTTGGGTCTCACT